TTTTACAGAATAGAGAGATACTTGGTGCAGGAATTGCAAAATGAGTTATGAAGAAAAAAAATCCAAGAAATTACAGCTTGCTGAGGAGATATTGCCACTGCCTAGTGATTGGCCTGAATTTGTTAGCTAAATAGATATCATGCTCTGATCATTCCATACTGTCAGAAGTAAAAAACATACAATTTAAATTAAAAAATAAATATTTTTTGAAAGAAGAGAACAAGAGATAGCAAAAATCATCATGAACTTTATAACAGGAGGAAATACCCAGAAGGATTAGTGAGACATACATGCAGAACGCTAACACAGAATGCACAGTATCATTTTAAATTTTGCACTGTGATCTTGGACAAGGTGTCAGACAAAAGTGTTTTAATATGAAATGAACTTTGGGTCAAATTTCCAAAAGAGACCTCCTAGTTTTCACGCAAATCATACCGCAAGCACCACATAGGCATTTCTGAAACGCTGACACCATCATTATGCAACTGAAAAGCATATGGAAGTGTTAGCTTAACACCATTCTGTGTTACTACAGAGCTACATAGCAGATGTCTGCAAATTCAAATTAGAAATGGGATTCTTTATTAAATTTATATTAAGAGCTGGCATTGTAAGAATATACTTTTTTATTCAACAGCGGACATTTAACATTATTTGATAATACTTTGTTAAGCCAGCAAAACTTAAGCTAACTGTACTTATAAGTACGTATGGGAGGGAAAAAGTTATGACAGCTTTTATATTGTTTGTATGTGCCAAGCACATTTCTAGACTTCATTTCTCCTTCCCACTTGGAAATTAGAATTTGTTCCCAGGGAAGTGAGTTGGAAGGGAGAAAGAGTAGTTTATCTAAGAAGTTATTTTTAGTAAACCTTTTGTTATTATACTTAAAACATGTTTTTTAAAGTATTTCAAAAAATCAGTTTGTTCTCCATGTATTCAATTTTGACACATTGCCTGCTCTGTATTATTTGAAAGTGTCTTACGCTGCAGTGGATACAGGAATCCCAGCAGAAGAAAGCAGAGATGATGATGCCCCCCCAGCCTAACAATTGGTTTGTACTGGTGCCAATGCCTGCAGTCCTGGAGCACTGCAACAGATGTAATGCCCAAGACAGGTACCAGGCAAGGCTAGACTTCTACATTTTTAGATCAGCCTTGATCAGTCTTCACAAAAACAAAAATAAAATTTCACTGGTTTATTTTATGAAACTACTACGTTTTAACTCTACATAAAACTTTTCACACTCTGGGGAATCATATTCTTTTGCTCACTTTACAAATTCGAATTTAGCTGTTTTCAAGTTTGCTATACATTCTGGTTAGCTGAGTGCAGAAAGAGATGAAATGCTGAAAAGCAGCTCCCTGTGAGAAAAATTAGTTCTCTGGCAAAGAGTAGTTGGTTCTTCTCAAAAATACCTGAAAAGACCCTTCCCCTGGACAGCTGGATTGTTGTTCAATCCCCAAAACTGTTTTATTCAACTTTGTTAAAAATGAAAAGAAAAATGTAAATTAAAACAATTGTAGTAACCTCAGCTATGCAAAAAACCCCAAAACAAAACAATAAACACAAAAGCAATAGCAACATTTTTAAAATGTGAAAACAAAACAAGATTTTGCAATGTTTTTTAAACACATAAAGGAATATACTTGTAGGATTACAACAAGAAAACCCATTTCCAAAACTCCAAATATATTTGAAAGCAAAAAGTACTAGACAATTTTTGCACAATTCTATTGAAAGCACCCAAAAGTATTAGTATTTATTGTATGTATCAGCCAGGAAAAACACCACTTTCAAGTATTTCCCTAAATATCTCAGTTAATTTCCACCCTAATACTTCATTTAATTTCCATGTTAAGAAACCAAAACATCCATTTTCCATCCAAACAAATCTATTTTCCAAACATACCAATGTTTTTACACACATGCCCACACATTCAAGCCACCCAGGTCTGCCTGGGTATTCCTGTCTCATGAACTTGTGAGCAAATGGCATGTGACATTAATTAGTAGCTCATATAAAGTAATTCTTACAGAATCCTGTATGTTAAAGGTGACTCTTGGCCCAGGAGATGCTGCATCTACACGGATATCTGGGAGATCTTCACTGTCTCCAAGCCGAGAGCTATAAGCATAGACAGTAAGAATATCTTGTCAAGTTTTTATTACAGAATGCAGTGTCCCTGTAAACGTTTAACTATGCAAATACATAGCAATTAGCATGGTCAGCGCTTGCCATATTATCAAGGAATCAAATATTAAATAAGAACTGAAGTTTTGACGTATATGAAAATGGAGGAGGAGGAAGAGAAGGAAGCAAGGAAGGTACACACTATTTGGCCAGAGCGTGCGCAAGGGTGCACACAAAAACACTAGTTTTCAGAACATTCCTGTCTTCCATGCAGAGCTCCTCCTATCCAACCCAACCACATACAACTGCTGCCTAAAGTAAAAGCTCAATTCCAAGGTGTCCTCTGTTACCCCTACTGTTACTGCTTTCATGGAGCTCAAACTCCAGAACTTTACCTTGCCCTGTCCATTCTCTTCAGAGGTGGTCTCCCTGATGCTGAAATGCTCTTAGAGCGGCTATAGCTGGGTTTGTATCCAAGACCCCATTTGTCTTTCAATGAAGCAGCCTAAAATAAAAAAGAATATTGAAATGAAACACTGAGGTGATGCACTGTGGAAAAAAAAGAGGAGGAGTCTGCCGGGCCATCGTCTATCAACATCTCTAACCATTTCCCTTGTACTAGCTGACAAAAACATACAATTCAAGTGCTACTGTATGTTTTATATAACTTAATAGTGCTTACCCTCATGCTGGATCGCCGAAGCTTCTTGCGAACATCTCGGCGGATGTCATTCACAGCCACTGACTCCAACTGCTGATACCGCTGAATTTCTTGATTTATAGTTCCTTCACTTGCACCTAATTTTCTGGAGATAAATTATGGCTGAGTATCTCACAAATACATAACCTCTACACACACTATGCTAAATGATACACTACTATCCCTGTAAAACATGCCACATTCATTTTTTCCAGTGGTTACTTATGATCAATACCACCTTTTCTGAATTCAGCTGTAAAAGATCTGCACTTATTTCACTATACAACTTCTTGTCAGGTATAATATTTTGTCCTTTAAGATGACTCTTTGATTATAGAGTTTCTATCTCCAAGTCATTCCACAGAGCGAATACAGGACATAAAAAAAACTGCCATGCAAGTAGAACCCAATCAGCACGCAATGATGATAATCATGGTGCAGAACAAGAAGTGCAGTAGTGCAGCCACTCTCTCACTTCCAAAAGCTCTAGATTTAAGGACTTTCTGTGCACTTTCAGTCACAAGCCCCACTAGTTTTTATTAAAAACAACTATGCCAAATCAGAGAATCACCAGCAGGCTGAAGGATGATGCTGCTGTAGCAGCCCAACAGTCACGTCACAAAAATGACAGCTTTCTACAGAAGATTACATTCTGCGGGAATATCACCCCTAAATAATTCACAGAACCCTGATGTCAGTTATTTTGAATAAATCAAGATTTACCAAGGCATTAAAACACTCAAAATAGAAAGCTTTAAAACATAATTTTGATTCTTGTATTCATATTCTGAGAAACACTTAACCTAAGATCCAAAGTTCAGATACAATTGCCTTTTGACTGCTCACAGCAATTTTATTTCAAGTACAAACACTAAAATGTGCCTCCTTTGTATCATTTAACACATAATTTTCAAAATCTGCATTACCATCACAAACAGATCCATTTACAGTAAAAGTGCCTGAGCAAAAATAAGGAAAAAAAGAAAAAAAAATGCTAAAAATGATTGATACAATGCTTTCCCCTCTGGCTGTGAGCATTTTAAAATGAACTGCTTTCTTAAGAGTTTTCTCACATATAGTATGAGTTTTAATTAAAAAAAAATCATGAAAGATGCAAAAATAGACTACATAAATTAAATTTATTCTGCTTTCACTGAACAGGACATTATTAAAGTAATATATTTTACTAATCAGTGTGATAGAAACCAACGTGCAACTACGGTTTGGGATTGGTTAAAAAACAAAAAATCCTGACGATCCAGAGGGAACACAGACTGATATGACACTTGAAGAGTGTCATAACTTGAATTTGAGAGTACTTGCTCATCTGATTTTTTCTTAGGCAGTCATCAAGGACAATTTTTTGAAGTAAACAATAATTTCCAATTGCAAATGCTGCAAAATATGAAATAGATAAAACAAAAAACAACTTCATGTGCAGCTTTGTTATTCCCCCATCTTATGCAATTTAAAGCAGAACCACATGAAGGAAAATCCAACTTACTTTAAATCATCAATTACTTTAGCTTGCTCATTGAGTTCTCTAATATCAACTAGACGCTTCACAAATTTTCTTCCTCGCTGCTCTCCAGTTTGGATACTAGAGGCTCCCTGCCGTCGGTGATCAACAATCTCCTATTTAAAATAAACATCTAATTAGTGTCCTCCTAAAAAGTGGACATAAGTATCATTTAACAACAGACAAACTGAATTTCACACCTTAAAATTTAGAATATTGCATGCAAAAAGAATCATTTTCCACTCAAAAGGCAGCTGATTGAAATTTTCCAGTGATCTGAATCCCATCATTCAATTAGACACACTTTAGCTACTACATACATGTCCCCATGAGCAGGATCTGCCTGCTTTCCTATGTGATGTGCTAGACTGAGGAGAGTCACAGTTCGCTGACCCCAAAAGATACTCTACAGGAACAGAGTATCGGTGGCTTGGGGGGCTCAAACCCAGCAGGTGATTTACAATCCGCTGCCCAAATGTTAGCTTGCGTGCATCTCCGCATAATGAACCTCCACCTGATTTCTAAACAACAAACACCATCGTTAGTATTCTGCAATTAAGTATCCACTTGGGCAGGCAAGAGACATTTAAGACAGCCATTGAAGAGCATCTGGTAAACAGGTTTTACATGAAACCGAAAGCAAGGTTAACAGGATATTGAGCAGAGGTGCCGAGAAGAAAATTTTTCTAATTGGCTTATCATGTTAGTAACTTCTTGTTCTGTTTTCTAAGGAAACATATCTGCAGGCACAGCTTTTCCAAAGAATATATCTGAAATTAGGTACCATATTTTCATGTTTCCAAATCGAAATCCATAGCACTACTTAAGAGCAGGAGAAATATGATCTATGTTTTCTAACTCTCTATTTCAAAGACAAGCTAACAAACTGCTTTAATTTATAACATGAATAATATTAATTTATCACTGAATGTTATGTATGTATATATATATATGACCATATATATATATATAATACATATATATATATATATATATATACACACACGCACATACATATTTGTCTGCAAACAGATGGGAGCATGCAGGATGCAAAAACTCAAGGCTAAAACCCTTCCATTTGATGGAAAACTTTGACAAGTCTTTTCTAACTATTAGCATTTATTTTGGTTGATTCACTTACTGCATGTATAGTGGGAGACATAGTGTCAACTTCGTCCTCATCCGACAGGTCAGCTATGTTTACAGAGTTAAGGTCAGCAATATCATCAATATCTTCTTCTCCTGTCAATGTTGTTAGAGTGTTGCCTAAAGCATTTAGCCTCTTTCCAATGTTTGGATCCATGTGGACATCAATACCACACATCTTCCATAACACATTGAGTGTCCAGGTTCCAGCACTACTACTTTCTGGATTAAAAAGAAAAAAAAAAGTCTTAAGCAGTTTTTTCTTCTTGTAAAGAGTTCCCACACAGGGTCTCCCATTAGTTTGCCAAGACCATGTTTATCTGCTCTAAACAACTGTTTTCTCCATCTTGAAGAACTTTGAGGAAAACCTTTTCCACAACTGAAATGCTCTTTAGCAGTACCTAACAGGAAGTAAACTATGTTTCTTTCACAAATGATGCACACAAACACAGCTGAAAAAATAAAATCCCTTGAGCCAAGCTGATCACTGGGAAAGGAGATAAGCATCAGATAAGTTCAGATGAGATAAGTTCAGTTCTCACAATTTCAGCCAAGTACACTATTCAAGAACAGGGTTTCTAACACCAAGAAACTTAAAGCATGGCCATCTACGTGAAGAAGTGCTGAGCTATTTACAGACAGAATAAAAATGCTGGAAGATGTCATAATACATTGTATGAATAACATATCTGCCAAATAATACTTCTTCCCAGGATTTTTCTAGTGAGTGACACTTTTCAACATCAAAATACAAAAACTGCTTGAACAGAATGAGCATACTAACACACAAAAGTATATTACCTGCTGCAGCTTGCCCCGTTGTCCTAGAGCATACTTCGTATGTACCATCTGGCACAACACCTGCATAAGAAACACACTGCTTAGGCACTGTTCATCAACCCTTGTCAAATTTCACCTCAGCTTCAGGCCCAGCACTAATAAAATATGAGAGGCGATGGAGTGGCATTTTTTATTCTAATCAAATAATTTTATTCTATTTAGTAAATTACTTGGTAACATTCATGTTGCTATACTCCAATAATTCTGCATAAATTCAACAATCGTCACCATAATATAAGTGAAAATAATTTATATTTAACTACTGAAAGTTTACTGGGATCTTATGAAGTTAATATAAAAGCAACACATTCAACTCCTCCCATATCTGTCAGACAGAATGTAGAGAAATACATATACAAGCAGAAATGCAATGAAATCCTTAATAAATACAATACAACTGTTTAGGTCCATATTCTTTCGGTTTCGAAAGGCCAAAGTCTTCCCGTTATCTTTTGGAGAGATTTTCAGTAGTTTTGAAGGCACAAGAAAGTGTAAGAGGGGATTCAGAAGTGAAATACGATTGTCCAGAAAATCACAAACACTTACATGCATTCATGACTAGATCTCCTCGTATTTCTGGTTTCCAATCATCCCAACTTGTCTCAAAGCCATCAGCAAAGCGGATACAAAAGTTCTTAAAATGACCTTTGCTAACTAAAGACTCTGAGGAGCAGGCAGTGATTAATGTACTTTCAATGGTCAGGACTAATGCAGAGCCAGTGTCAAGATCTGCAGTGTGGTTAGACTGGAAAGTAAAATCAGAAAGATTACTGGTGATTGCAAAGTCAAGATGATATAACTATAACTTAATGAAAATGAAAGCACGTACATTTTTCTGTTTAGTAAATCGTATTCTCATTCCTTACTTTGATTAAATAAAAACACAGTTCGAAAACTGTGTTAAAGCCAACAGGTTCAGAGATTTTCTGCTAATAAGTCCACAGAATGAATTGGAATTTGTGATGGCAGGTTTCAAAAAAACATGTTCCACCTGAAACCTTTCCAAGGATTTCTCAAGGTACTGAGCTCATATGTGGTGTAAGCAAGAAACCATTATGTTGTCTCAAATAGGGCACACCAACTCAGCCTTTCATAAACAAGAATACCACTTCTGCCATAAGTAATGTCACTACTGCAATGTCAGCATCCTATGATTTTTATGTTAATATGGTGTCAAATTAATTTCTCTTCATAATAATCTCTGCATAATAATCGCACATCACATACAAATGGATATTTCCCAGACTACCGTCCTTCCCTTCAGACATTTTGATTACCTGAGGTGTGTTTGTGATGGGCAGGCAAATTCCTAAGTCATTGACCGTCAGCTGAAGAAAAAGGGTTCCAAAAGCCTGGGCAGATGTTTGCTGGATTCCTGGCAGCATATCTACTACTTCTTTGGTGGCCATATGAATATCTTTATGTAAAGCCATTCTCTGCTCATTCCAGTTATCATAAGCAGCTTTGTAATTCAGCCAAAATAATACAGCTTTATGAAGAAAAACAGAAGTGAACAAAAATAAAATTAAAAAGTGCATGTGTTCATTGGAACTTTGTTTTTCTCATTTTTACTGTTTCTCCATTACTTTAAGACTGCATCATATCTATGTGCAAGAGTGCAAACACATACACACACATTCAGAATGTAGAGAGCAGTCTTGTGCTGCAAGGGCCAAGACAGACAAAGCTCACATTAAAATACAGAAAACGATGATATTCTCAATATTACACATTTATAAAGACTTGCAAAACAGCTCCCTGAAGCCCACCTGAAAACTAATCACCTCAGCAAATGAAGCTCATTGCCAACAGAAGTTATTAATTTGTTTGCATACAGTAAATCTCCTAAATAAGTTCTTTAACTAGTTTATTTTACCCAGTATTCCTATTCAGCCTGAGAAACTAAGACTTGAATCACCACACCTCTATAAAAAATATAGCTTGGTCAATAAGAAAATAGATTTTTGACAACCGTCTCTCTTAATACCTCTATCAAAGGCCACGGGCTGAGCAAAAACAATTGGTCTGTTCAGAGTAATAAGCACAGCTTCCCTATCTGACGAACCACTGATTTCTTCTCGAAGAGCATTTCTTAAGCCAATTCTGGTCTTAAAATAGGCGACTTGATGGAAGTCTGAACCAGCTTCTTCATAAACCTTAAAACATTCAGAAAAATAATAAAGATAAAAAAGGGGGGAGGACAAAAACAAGAGGGCACATTGCAAAGAGAGGGAGTGAGGAGGGAGAAAAAAAAAACAGGTTACTGAATTTGACAAAATGAAAAATTTACAATAAGTAGTATTACAATAAGTAGTATGACCTTTCCCTTTTTTTGCCTCCTGTTTAAAGTACTTCTAAGGATACTCAACTTCCATCAACTTCTGATTGCAATGGTATTTCCTTACTTTATCATGAAAAATTAAGTAACATAACTATTTATATACCCAAATCCTTTGTAACGACAGTACATTTACAGGTTCTAAGGCTTATATTTTTGGGGGAGACATCACAAAATATTCTATATTATAGTTGGTGATTCCAGGTGAGAGTGGGTTTAAGAATCCTAGAGATACAATTGAACTATACCAGACAAACAAGATGAAAGTGCATGTCAATAGAAATTTATATCACATCTAACCTTATTATTTCATGCATGCACCCTAAAAATGATAACAAAATCAATAAAAAATCTGAACTGGGCTCAGTAACAAGGCCAACACTATTGCAATAGGTAAATAAGTTCCAAAATATTCATGGGGGATGAAAAGAGGGGATGGAAAAAAAAAATTAATGAAAAAAAAAGGTAAAAAAAAAAAAAAAAAGCACTTTACTGCCTCTTCTGTAATAACACGTATACAGGTCTTCATACGAAAAATTTGCTAACTCTTCCAAGAAAGCCACTCTCAGTTACTTCTCACATTGAAGAGAGAAAATTGATTTTGAATCGCTACAATATATGCAAGATATACTCCACAATTTTATATGCTGCAGAATAGTCAAACTTTTCAGAAACTTACAGAAAACACACACGCCTACAATCCCACACCCACTCCATAGCCAAATGAGAAAGACAATGAACAGTTTCTGTTTTGTTCTATATTTTTCAGTCACCCCCTGTTTATTAACAAAGTCTGGACTGCTGCATGCCAAGACACTGAGCACTAACCTGATGCTTAACAATCTGTCCTAATGCCAGATTTAGATCCACCTGGCATTTACCAAACAGTTTGAGGTAGCTGCTGCTTCCTGGCATTGCTTTGGTTTGTAGTCTGTTGGAGAGCTCAAGTTCTATTAATCCAGTTTCAAATCTCACAGCCCGCATTGAGGGAGTTGTGGCTGTTACTTGAATTCCCTAGCAAATAAATAAGGTATAAAGTTACTTATGATCTGGTTCAGAGGCATAAAAAGAATTGGGGGAAAAGTCTTCACTTTGCAACCAAAAATAAAAGAGGGCATAATGATTTTTCATGTGGTGTCACAGGTGTCACTGAGTTATTTTAAAAACATGAGAGGAACCGAACTTTAGATTAGGACTTTTTCTTCATGCGGAGAATTCTCAATTCAGAGCCTTGAGGTAAAGATCCAAGCACTCAGTCATTAATGGCACCCGAAAAAATCATTTTGTCATTTCAAGACTACCTTAAACTGTAGGCTCAAGGAGTAAAGAAGAATTTTGGGCTTCTCTCCATCTGTTGTGCCATCATGTTCGTTCCAAAGAGGTATCGGCTGTTCCCCTCCTGTATATATTAAGTGTACATAATCAGTTTTAACCCAGAAAACATACATAAATATACATATATCAAGCATATATGTATATGCACTTGTGTATACATATATATATATATGTATAAACTTGATGACAATCAAGTTTGTTTCAACCAACAGTTCGCTGAAGATATAGAAGGTTCAAGACAGAACTTTCTCTAAATTAACTGAAAATAAATAGTAAACATGTCAAGTATGGTGCAAACTGCATTAAAAGCACTGCCTAATTTCTAATTTCTCATGTCAGAAGAAAAGATCACACTGCAATTATTTTCATACACTGTTGGATTCCCAATCCTGCTATATTGCATTCCAACTTACATATATCTTTATAGCTTAAGAAACAACATATTTTTCCATAAAACACCGATAAAAGCGACAGCACTGAATAATTTTGCATCTGTTCTCTATATGGGATTTTGATCAAAATGCTGCTTTTCTTCTGAAAAAAAAAAACTTTAGGGAACAGAAACTAGTCTACAATGACAGAAATTTCTGCAGTTCATAGCATGATACACAAACCAGGCAAATAAACAGCTAAAGGCCTTTCAGTATGGTTCTAGAGCTTGTTATCTGCAAAGGATCAGTAAGTTATCAACTGTGAGACTCTAGGCAACAGCAGAATTACTGTTTTAACACTATTTTCCCACGATACAGCCATTTTCCTCAGAAGAATAAGCTGACGAACCCCATTTTTAAGGTGGGGAAAGTGAATACAAGACGTACACAAAGGCAGTGCAGGAGAGCCTGCATCAAGAGTCGGTCATTCTGGACACCGGACTCAGGGTCTATTTTGCTTTACACAGCAAAACCCCCAGCTTCCAGAACTGCCACAGACACTTCTAGATCCCCTAACGTTACTTCAAACCGTAACCTGCTGCTGGCTGCTGAGCATTACTTGATGCAAAGTGGTGGTGTTTGTGAAATAAACACCTAACCAGAGAAACCATCAACCAAAGCTTAAAACCAACTTTAAGTAACAGCTTTAAGTGTTTCTACTTACCTGAAACCTTTTGTATGACTTCATTTACTTCCTTCATGAACACTTTTTGTACAAACACCAAATGATTTAATAAGTCAGTTGTGAGATTATGTTCAAAGGAGCCAACCTGCCAAAATACAAATTTTTAAAATACAACTTTAAAACAGTTACCATAGCTAAGTTTTCAAAATAATACCATTTTTTTAAAATACACATATTAAGTCATAAGATAACTGTATCATTATTAGCATATTAAAAAAAAAGTATGTGGAATAGTTTTATCTTGCAATTTTTCTCTTTTAAGTAGCTACCGGAAAATTGGTGGACATAAACTATTATACAAAAAAGTGAGAACGATTAACAATCTAAAGAGTTTATTCTCTTGTATTGCAAGTTTGGTTTAAACAATAAAATGCAAGACTTCACAGAATTTAATGGAAGTTTGTGAATTGATACTTAATTTCAGTTTATGCTGAACATCTTCAAAGTAAGAACAAATCCTCATGTCTTTCTCTAGCAAGGACAACACCCAAATGTGTTGTTCAAATAGAAGCACCTAATACATTTCTTCTGTAAGGATACGAACATTGCAAGTCCCCATTACAGGTGTACTAGACAATTTAACTGACTAAATAAGGGCAGCTAGCAGAAAGGCTTTTCCCCACTCAACCATTTTTTTTAAGCAGTATGCTTTCTATCCTCTGTGAAAATTATCTGTAGTAGTCCGCATACAATACAACACAGAAACAAACCAATGTCTACAAACAGAAGACTTTATGTATTTTTGAAGCTATTTGTAGCTTCTTATATCTGTATTGATGAAAAAATAAAGCAATAAACCCATATGTAGTCTTTAAACTTAATAAGAAGTCCTGCAAAATACACAACAAAAATGGTCTACCTGATCTAACACATCAGTTTAAAATGACATTGCATCTGAATCATCCGCATAATATATTTGTCTACTTTATTCATGAGAAATATTGTCATTCGTCCCCTACACACCTTCCCTGTTCAAAATTTTTCAAAGATAGTGCTCTTGACCATTTAATATGTTCACTGCTCATCCAACTAAGAACTGAAAGAAGTTTTACTTCGGATTCATGCAACTACAAATAACATATTTGGATCAAGCTGCAAACCCAAGAGATATGGAACAGGCAAATGATTGAGCTAAGCAAGTCAAAAAGATGCACATACAGAAATGTAACAGATGGAAATAGTCAACAAGTTCCCAGAGAGGACTACAATCTACTACTACTACACCTACTTCAGCCACACAACGTAGGTAGTTCCCTTGTAGGTAATAGCCTTGTTTAGCAGGAAGTTCATCTATGCTCCATATTTGGTCTGAGTAAGTATCATGTTCTTCCATTATGTATTTGCCTGACATAGTGACAGGAGGAAGGTTGAGACTTGCTGAGGGAGGAATGGTTGACATATCAGTTGCAGAGATTTTAGAAGTGAAGCGCAACCTGTGACTCGGAAGTTCAAAAGTAAATCTTGTTTGGGCACCTGTAAAAGGAAGATGAGGAGAAAAAGTATCACAAAAGATAAGTTTTCATTTCTTTTTGAATTTAAAAACGTTTTTTGGAATAAAATGTTAAAATTATGCTCAAGTTAGGGGCACTGATCTCTAGAGCTATGAATATCCAACCACATGATTCTTAAAACATGAGAAAAAAAAAACAAACATATCACTGTAATAAGATAAAGGCAGTCAAATTACCTATTACATCTATCTACCATCTACATCTACCTACCATCTATTACAACAATAAAAAATCTCTACATAGTCCCATCTGATTGATGTCCACATTCAAAAAAACAAACAAACAAAAGAGAACAAAACAAACAAACAAAAACAACCCTAGGCCAACAGCAGTAGAGTCAAAACTATAGTAATAACTCAACATAAATCTTCAGTCCTCTTGTTATTTTTCTAACAAAAGAAAACTAAAAGCCATGTTTCATAAAGTTTCCCAGAAGCATTACCTGTCATTCCGTGACTCCTCATTCTTCCCATCTTATATTCTGCCTTTAGAGAGGGCAAAAGTGCTGCTCCAATAGCTATACCATCTATCATGGCACTAAATTTTAAAACTATAGGCTTCTTTTCTAAGCCTTCTGGCAGCTGTGGAAATTCATTTGTTTCAACAGGTGTTTGATTAATACTTGTTGGAGTCTTTTCAGAGGGCAAGGGAGTTGCAACATCTTCTTTTGTAGACTGGGTACTATTTTTCAAGACAAAGATGAGAAAATAGTGTTACTCTAGTACTATATAGAGCTAGCTGGACTCTCCCACAAGTCCATAAGCTGGTGATAATTAGGGGCATCCACAAGCACCTTCCAAACAAACTTACGCTGTTGATGGTTGCCTGATGAGATCTGAAATCTGCTTGGAGAGCTGATGGGAGCTCCGCACCATCATGCTGTGCAACGTGGCAGGGTGCTGCGGGATATTGATGCTGATCGCTCCGACTTTGACCACAGCAGCGTTGTTTGTTTTCAGCCCTCTTTGGGCACTGTACAGAGCCTGAGATTTGGCAATACTGCATTTCACTACAGTTCTAACAGAAAAGGAAAAAGGATTTGTTTGCAGATCTTCCAAAACAATTAGACTTTTATGTTAAAAGGAGTTTTTCAAAGTTAGCTGAACTGTCTAGTAGGAACATAGGTGATTTTGTTTAGCATCAACATACACACTACTTTTGCTTTTACTTTACACACACAGATGCACTACATGCCACAAACAACTACAGAACATTTAAGAGAACTACCAGGCATGCACTGCAAAAACACAACTATTAAACTGAATCTTGGGTAATATGAGACCATTTGAGTTTACACACACCAGACAACATACACAGACAATTTTCACACGCTGAAACAAGTAAGAGTCTTCTATTTCAACTCTTCTTTATAAATAATCATGAATCATCCTTTACATAAGATCACCTAGTAAAACCTAATTTTAGCATCCAAAAAGGCCAATGGACAAAAGAGTAACAAATTTAGCTAGTGATATAGGGGTTAGTGAAATAATACTGATGTTTAAATGATGCATACTATCCCAAAATATGATCTTCAAACTTTACTGTAATGCTAAGGAAGATGTAGTTCACTGCAGTTACATAATATAAAAATATAACTGTACATATTAGTAAATGTTGATGTCAGAAAGAAGTTTTGACACATCAAAATTCACTAAAGTCTTACTAAAAATGATGTATGCAGTAACACTCTCACGTTTCTCATTTCAGATCATTTACTAGAGGGCTCCTCAAGAGGAAAACACTATGTAGTCAGTTTTCAAGATGGAGTACGCAAGCTGAAATGTCCCAAAAGCAAACACTGCAAAACTGCAACATTCAACAGAAGTCCTTCGACATTAACTTCTATGGGATTGCACTATGATTTAACTTGCTCTGTGGACAGTTTGTGGTTTCGTGGTGACAATTACCTTATTCAAGTAAATCTCCTTCTAAGTAAATTTCTCATTGAAGTCCTAGCACGGGGCTCATCACCACCTGAAACAGTGGTTAGCTCAAAGTCTCCCAGGTCTCTGACTACCAGAAAGATTTTCTGCTTATAACACCACAGTCTGGAGCACTGCAATGCAGCCACATACCTCTCAACAGTACATTAGTTTACTGAGGCAACAGAAAACTTTCCAATTTTCACAGATATGCAAAAGCTACACGAGACCTAAAGCAGTTAGTGATTACAATTTTAGGGTGGAAGGTCAAATAGAAACGTTGTGAAAGTATTTTAAGAATATACAAAAGTTTAAAGAAGGAGACAAATCAGCTTGAATGTTCAGAGAAAAAAAAAAGAAATGTACATAGTAAGAAATATTAAGAAATGCTTACTCTACCTCTTTAAAACTAAAACAACAAAAACAGATTATTTCTCTGTTCATGATTTGGCATGTTCCCTACTCAAATGTGCCCCTCAAAGTGCTAGTGTTCTGATTCACCTGTAATAAAGTCAGCCAAGAATATATCTTCTCCATCAATAACAACTATTTTAGCTGCTCAGACATCAAAAGGACAACTTTCAACTTGAGGAAAGTTGGAAGCTTTTTTCCTATTCTGTCCCAAACAGACACTGCAGTCAAACTCTCTTTTTAAGAAGTTGAAAACAAATATAGTTTGAATTAAAAACAGATCTATAAAAAATCTAAGCATGTGAACCCATGTATCTATTCTATCGTCATAGGAGAACTGGATGAGAAGGAATCCTATTTGGTCTGGACTTCCCAAATACTCAGCAAGGCTAATTGTGCTTCTCTACCAAGGAGCTTGCACATTTCAAGGAACTGTCACTTGCCCGGTAGCACAGACAGAGCGAGGTGCAGAAGAGCTGCAAGGCTCTGCATGGACTCTGAGTGGGCACTGCACGTTATACGGCTGCCGTTTGCCTGCATATGGTGAGGTGTCCGTAACAGATTTGGCTTGCTATTTTTAAAATAACTGATTTAAGTTACAAATGAATAATGCATTCATAAGTAATTCTGTGTTCTTAGATCAATTCCATAAATAATCCCTCTCCAGACAGCTTTTGAGCAGAGCTTTGTTCTACTACAGAATAGACTACAAAGCAAATACTCAATATAAAAGATATCAGGGAACATTAGAAAGACATCAGCAGAAGGCCACTAACAAACACAGAAATTACCACAGACCAAAATTCAGGCAGCAGCAGAATTTCTTCAGAACCAGAGTACTGTACTGTATTCAAGATTCATCAGCAGATCTACCTACCTTACATCAACTTGCCCAGTCCTTTAACTCATTTTTATTTTTGCTGATCACATAATACAGCAGTGAACTCCACTGTTCATTTATGTGCAACAGGAGAAAGGACTTGCTTTTACTGGCTTTAAGTCACCAGTAGTCATAAAGTAAGAAAATAATAATAATAATAATTGCTTCTTGTCCATCTTCATTACCTCATTTGTGATTTTACAGTCTACTGTACCTCCTTTCAGGATCATCATTTATTCAGACATTTTGAAGTTTACCTGTATTATCATAATCCTGAATTTGCACAAATGCTGTAACAAACAGCAACTGTATTAGGTCCTACTAGGTCCTACCAAAATGTACGCACCAGGGGTCTAATACAGAAAAAGAATCCCGTCCAGAGAGCGAAACTTGGAGGAAAAAAAAAAAAGAAAAGACAGAGCCCCAAGGTTTGGGTTCCATTATTTTTCTTCTTCAAGCACTGCAGCCTCACAGGACACTGGGCCTTCCAGGCTGCCCACCTGGCAGCTCAGCATTTCTCAACTTCTACAACTAGACTTCAACTTACTAAGGACCTCTAGGCATAGGCAGCAGGAAGAAGGCAACTAGAAAGAAACACTGCATCATTTTTACAATGAAACATCTACGTATGCTACAGGAACCTGGGAGACATGGAGGGGTTCACCTTCATGTACAGTAAATGCCCTGGCATAATTTTAAGGGAAACATTTTAAGTCAGTTTACTTAGTAATTAGGCCCAGCACTGACATAAAGACAAGAGTAGTCCGTCTGACGCTGAAAACAGGACATGTTCTACCACTCCAATCACAGCCATTCTTAAGTTAAAAAACTACCCAATCTATACATTGCTTTACAGCTATCAACATTAAAATAAGCACAGAAATATATCTCATAAAAATAGATCAAAGGAACAGTGAAACTATTCTGCCAGTGCAATAGCGACTGCATAGTGTAATATCTGCCCTATGAGCTAGATTGTTGATATGAAAATATACTAATTTTTCTTAATAGATATTAGGAGACTACATAAAATCTTATGGAGGTATTATTAGATGTTCAACTAAAATGTATTCAAGCAGCCTCTGGCTACAGTCACACACAGTAAGAAGGCAGCCATTAACTACACAACACAGAGTTATTGCAAGACTATTAAATGTAATAATATGACATACAGAAACTCTTGTTTGGCTGTGCTTGTAGGAGATGTAGGAAAATCCTCCAGTCTACAGATGAAGATTGAAGAGAAAGCAAGAGAAATAAAAACAAAGCAAATAAAGAATAAACATTCATGCAAAATTAGTTAGGTAATTACTTGTAACCCACAATATGACAAATATTTTCAAATTAAACAAGTTGAAGGGGAGGTTTTTGTCTGTTTCATCCTTTTGTTTTGTAACCTGATCTTACATGAAAGTTCACTAAAATTACAGCATAAGAACACAAACATTAACCCAGCCAACTTCAGAAATAGATGGCTCTCAAATGAGAACTTGTATTAACCCTTCTGAGATGCTTTTGACAAACAATTTAGCTGGTGATATTAATAAATGACTACATGCTTATAGTTCTCTACAATATCTTCCAAGAAGAACAGGAAATAAAGAGGAAAAAAAATAATTAAAAAAGACTCAAGTCAGTTTAGGCCTTTTTCTAAAATATCACTAGTATTCCAGGTCACATACTGAGGGTTACCTACCTAACACCAAAACTATGTGAGGGTGATCTGTACTACAAAGAGTTGTAGCTTAACTGTGTTTTTGCAACTCAAATGTAAAGAAAATCAGATGGAAAAAAAATAATATGCATGCCTTCTTTGTAAACCTGGCAAAAATTACAGTGTGAACGCTGAGCAAGTCGTTCCAGGTGTTTGTGCACAAAAAGTATTGGGGAGGATGTTTGCTTTTTGAGTTAAATCACATCAATCATATAAAGGGTGAATAGCCATTAGAATGGTAAAATAACACAAAGAAATATGCAATATGGGTGTTTGAAAAGATACCTATTAATGAAGCAATATAGATCTTAAATGACAATCATCTGCATCAAGAGGTCAAACAGTCCTTCTAAAATTCCTTGTATAAATGGAATCTACAAGCTTCAAAAACAATCAGAAGCATAACAGAAAAAATACTCACACAATATAAGAAAGTTTCTGTTTGTACATCGCATGGAAGAAAACTGTTTCAAAGAGTCTTACTTTGAGTTTTGGACTTTTTGGGGTTTTTTTTGAACAAGAGGATCTACCTCCTGTGAGATAGTCAAGTCACTTATCCATTTACACTGGGATCCACAATAAGTTCTGAGGTTACTATTGTTTTTTTAATAGAAACAACCAGGAGTTGATATTTATCTCACTTATACACCTGTACATCTTGAACTTGGAGACTGGATGCCATAGGCTGAACACTATTCATATGTTCATCAAATCTCATAGTCCTCAGGATATTCAGTAAGTACTCACATTAGCTCAAATTTTGGTTATTTATGTAAATATTGATCACAAGCAGATTCTGCAAATTAAGATTCTGCAAACACAGTATTTTCTTACTATAATTACCAGTTTACAAATAAAAGGTAACATGACAGGTAGAAAAGCCTCCTGTCAAAGACCACAATGCAATTGACCTTTAGGAGTCAAACTTGGGCCCAATTTAGCAACAGTTGCAAGGTTACCCCTGACTTCAGGGATTCTACCTAAAAAATGCATTATCATTACAGCCTTTTCCGTAGTAAGCTACATACCTTTGCTGACATCCCATGTATACGGCACTTCCATGCACAGGAGTTTTTACAATTTTGAATTATTAGACTTCATACTTACTGGATATTTGGGGTAATTCCCTCCAGCAGGACAATATTGACACCTCCTATGTGAGCAGTGGCACATGTCTCAGTCATCTTTTGATGAAGAACATCTTTAAGGAAGAAAAAAAAAAGTAATCTAGCAACACTTAATTATTCAGTACAGAACTTCCAGGTATGCCTTCTGCTTTCAAAAATATGGCAGTAACACAACAATTCAAACATAACAGCTCTAGCAATCACATAAATTAGTATTAAATTGAAATTGTAAATAGAGGAAGAAAGCGTTCAAAAAGGCAAAGCTACATCTTCTGAAAGAACTTGGTGTGATTTTTAGAAAAAAAAGTTGTATATTTTAAAATCCTAGCGAGCTAGCAATATTTTTAAAAGAAATATCAAATGCTGTTACACTCACCATACAAATGCATAATACATACACATACAAATAAAACATCTTACATCTGTACATACAAACATACATATGCATGTAGAAGTGATATTTAATTTGATTGCAGAGCATGTTTTAGCTTATGTCACCTTTCATTTTTTCTTTCAGGGTGAAACTGCCATGGATTCTCTTCAGTTCTGACTCCATGGTTAGACCCCCAATATCTGCCTCCAGGTGGGTACGATTGACCATGCCTATTCCAAAGACTATTAGAGTCACATGCTGTGGCTCCGAAGTCACCAGACTGCGTTTCCTCTGCGTCCTGCTCAAGCTGCCGTTATCTTGTTCATTCTCAAAGACCACCCTACAGGCAGGTTCGGTTGGGCTTCGGACACCTGCACAAAAACAAAGGAGTTAGCCAAGGCTGCTTCACAAAACTTCCACTTATAACTGAAAACAAGGACTGCAACTTGCACATGAAGGGAAGTCTTTATGCAAATCATTTGGACCCCACTTTTTCAATTCTAACAGAAATAGTCAACTGAACCAAATCCAAGACACAGTTCTAAAGATTATAGACAAAGTTTGGGCCCCAAATTTGTAAGCTTAGCCTGAACTCAGAGAAACTACACTGTTTCACCATTTTCCTACTCTGACCTCAAAGCTAGGTTCCCAGGAGGAATTTCTGCTTAGTCATTCACAGTGCAGAAATGATCTCACTCCAGACCACTTCCTTACGCACTTGAACATTTTCTCAGAATGATAATATGGCATTTCCATTACCTCTTAAAAAGAAAATACACCCTATGGAGAAGCACTCAATCTACTCAGTACACAATTAACCAGGAAAAGTTATCCATTTAAACACAGTCTAACTTTGCCTGGGTTGCACCCAGTGTAACAGAGCTGAACAAAATATCACAGAACAATTTACAACCAATCAATCACGATGTAACTGTGCAGTGAATTCGACCAAGTGTAGGAATAAAAGAATGGAAGCAGAGATACCAGTATACTTTTAAAGCTGTCAAATCAAAGTTTTGATTTGTATCGGTTGCAAGCTTCAGAAGAATACATTTCAGCAAAGGATGCATCCTAAATTACTTGGATAACACTGTTTACCTGTTGGCCCAAAAGTTTCAGAAGACTTCTCTAAAATTCCAGTTGGATCAGAAATAAGGGAATAGAAGTTCAATAGCTTATACATATTTTGCCAACATTCAGCAGAAGGTTCACTCTGTTCTGACACAGTAATAGAGTCAGAGTCATCCATATGAATAGTCATGTGGTCAACTACATCTTTGGAACCTTTCCTGGATACTTTGGAAGTTCTTCTTTCTGACCTGCCCAAGGAATTCTTGTTCCGAGACTCCTTCTTATTGTTCTCGTTGTTGGTTCGCTTGTTCTTGGCATTGTTTACTCTGTTGCCTCCATTAAGGCTTCCTCGAGAGCTTCGGCTAAAATCAGAAGAGCGGAAGTCTCTGTGCTTGCGCGTTTTAAAAGTAGGTGTTGGAGAGGCTGACCCAGCCGTGTATCTGCTGAGTTTAATGTCCGTCTGTGTGGCTTTGATATCATCAATCATTGTGCTAAACTGATGGATTAGACGAACCAGGGCCATATCTACATGCTGGCTTATGGACTGGCAAGAGATTGTAAAGTTGCAGTGAAAAGTATTGTAGTATCGTTTATTCAGGTCATGAAAGGAAAAGGCACTTGTCGAGTTCTGAGGTGTGCACATTGATTTCTCCATTACAACAGCACTAATACTGAAAGTTTCCAACATCAAAGCTGGTTTAAATTCAAGAGGAGGAAGATTGACAGCTCCTTGCCTGAGGAAAGAAAAGATACAAGTTACCACTATGTTTCTTTCTAAGGCTAGCATGTAGTCCAATCGTTTTTACACAATGATACATCTGATTTTCTGAATCCAATCCTGATTTCCCTTAGGACATCATCCTCTCATTGCGGTTCTATGTACTGCAAATGGACTTTTATACTATCATATTACTTGCTACTTCAAGGTAGTCACTTTTGTTTTTTAATCTCCTAGGAACACTGCATTTTGGCAGGTCATTTGTCAATTGTATCCTCAAGCTTTGCTGAAGATACTTGTGATGGAGGCAGGATGGAGAAGATCCAGCATTTACCATGAAAATAACGTTTTTTAAAAAAAGGATTTAATTATCAAAAAAAACCCTTTTCAAATACTCTCAAATTTTCACTGAAAAATTTTCAGAAATTTTCAAATATTTAACAACATACCTTCGAGCTCGCTTGCTTTTCCTTTCCTTTGCTGTATCTGAATCAACAATATCTGCTCTAAGGCAATCCAAAGTTCCTGAGAAAGAAAGGTGCTCTCCAAAGTACATTCTGTAGCAGAGTGGCATTGCATCCTGAGACTGAATTCCCGTGTAACTTAGAAGAGGTTTGAAAACGACCTACAAAACAAAAATCCACTGATTTACTTCTCATTGCCTATGTTTTTCTTATATTACCTTTTCCTGCTACATCATTTGCTGATCTACATCATCTACAATACATGACCTACATGATATAAAAAGCTTTAGAAATTCATTGATAGTTCCGTGAAACAGTAAAGAAGAAAAAATGCAGAAGCTTTATTGTTGTTTATTCTTGTAAATCTGTTTTTTGTTTGTTTTATTTTTAAAGTAATGACTAGTTTTCTCCAACAGAATTCCAAAAGACAACAGCAGAACAACCCTACCTGTGCATCCGCTAACTGGACAGCAGGAAACCCTTGGTTACTCTCCTCTACACCTGCAATGTCATCCTGACTGGTGCTGTGCTGCGAATGGGTGCCATCCAGGGTGTTCTGGTCACTGGACAAAACGGTGTTGAAGTCTGAGGCAGAGGGTATTGTAGGAAGGTTGGGCGCCACCCCTAAAACATAAATACCCATGGAACACTAACACCACCGCAAACCTTCGCACTAGCAACTCCGCAAGCTCAGCTCGGTGAGCTTTGTAGAAACATGTGTCACACAAACAGAAAGCTGAGGTTCTGACAAGTCCATAACTTCACAAAGAGAGCGGTTAGGATTAAGAAACAGCCTGATATTGCTGAAACAAGTACTAACTACAAGTAGTCCAACTCATATTTGAAAATCACAAGAGTATTTCCTTCTTTCTGTGCTACTTCCCAAGGCCTTTTGTCCAGACTGCAATTTGGAAGCATTTTATCACATCTGTTTAAAATGTCATAGAAAAATTCTTGCCGGCACAATCAAAGTGAAAATTAATCCCAGTTACACATACTTCCTTTTAGTTTTTAACACTTAATGTGCAATGTAATGTTCATTATTAGTCCCAATGCAAGACCCACTAATTAGATCTCTGTGGATCACTCTCTAGCCAAGTATGTTCTCTGTACAAATGATTATGAGCAGCTAGTTCCCCATAAATGCAAGTCCGAGTGCTCATCGAGAGAACAATCCAAGGGCAGAGCCACTGGCATCCTGAGCCATGAGACAGAGTTGTTCCACAATGTCCATTACGCCTGATTCATCTGACAGTGCTGTAAACTCTAACTCTGACAGTCAGGACCGCATATCCCCACAGAAAAGTGATTTGGATAGATCAGTCTCTGAGTTAGACTGTCAGTTTAATTACAGGAATGTGAGGCTCTAAACAAGCTACCACAGTTTCAGTAGAGAAAAAAACATTTTCTTTAAAAGCAGAACTGAAAGCCACTATTTTCTCCGAATTTTTGCAGTTGAACAGTTTACAGAAGAACCACACTGCATGAGCAACACATACAACACAAAAATGTTTCTACAACCAGACTACTTGTTCAACATTAAAAAGCGAAAGCCAATTGTAGAGTTGTTGGTCAAGATTAACACAATAAAGTCTGAAAGACTTAATAGAAAAAAAGTTATATTTTAAAATTTGCATGCTGTAGGAATATGAATTAGGAAAGACTTATGAAATTAATAAGATGCACTAATTTGCAACATATCCGTTGCTTTAATACACTTTAACCTTTCACTATTGTATCCTTTCACTTTTCTCCCTCCTCTTACACCAGCTGACACTTCCCATCCCTGAAGATTAACAAGGCACATAAATCTGTTTCCTTATGTTTCATCTCACAAAAGATCTGAGAAGGATGAGGCAACACAGGAGCAACGAGCTCAGAGCCGCACACCGAACTGGCTATACCTGTTGGAAGGCTGTTGTGTCCGGACTTGGTGGCTGGGCTCTCCTGCACTACACTCCCCCTGTTACCCACGGCGTTCGACATCCAGTTATAGAAACTCACAGATGATGGTTCAGACAGCAAAGGATGTTCAGATAACATGTCTGTGGCCACAGTATTTCCTAAGCACATCAATGATAAGCTTTAACATTCACTGCAAAGACATAGCAAATAGCAGGTACATGGCACAATTTTACAGTCAATATATATTTACGGATAAAAAGTCAACAAGAGTCCTCAGAGTATATTTTAGTGAACTAATAAGTCAAGCAACATTGCTGCAAACTACACACACTACCACTGAAGTTACACTTAACTGCTGTTGCAGTACAAATGTCTTTGCCTTTGTTCATCTTTAGCATAGAGGGAGTCATTAAGTCATTAAAATACTTTTTTTTTTCTAAATTTTCATCCTCCTGATAGCAAAGGAGAGAGACTTGGGGCAGAGGGAGGAAATTTTTCCTGACAAATCATAACAGTACAATCTGAGCACTAACAGATAACAAGAGAACATCATTACTAAAAATCTGCAGATTACTATTAAATATAAACTGACTGGAACATTAGCTTTGATCAAGAAAAAAAAGAAAACTAACAAATACAGAATGATCAATTCATTTCCTTATCCAATTAAAAAGAATCATTTGTATAATTATATATGGCATAAACATACGGAAAAATCCTATGTAAAATGAGAATATTTTGTTTAGTTCTTGTCATATTTCCCCAACTTGACGTATTTGTTGCTTCTTCAACACAGTGCAGTGATTTCTAGGAACTGCTAATAACTGCAATGTTTACTGAGAAGGAAAAAATGTTTAAACAAAACTGACAGTTCATAATGAACATACAGTTCCTTTATTACTTAAACCATTAAAATAAAGTCAGCTTCCCTCCCCCCTCAACTTAGTACACATCCTACCTGTTCTTGTTAAAGAACTGCTTTTAACTGCAGTTGTACTTCTCTGAGGAGTCCCTTCTAAAAGGTTATGCAAGCTGGGAAAACTTCCAGTGAGATAGCTGAGCAGACTCTCTTTCCTTGGACTTTCTCTGACTCCCATTCCAGACCGGCCGACATGCACCGGGGAATCCGTAGCTGTGTCCCCACTAGTGTAGCTTAAGGAATGATACGGATGGATACCCTTGCAGACAAAACATAATGAAGTTATGCCTAAGCTGCAAAACAGAAATAAATGCTATGTGCCTAATAAAAGGCTGGAACACAGTAACTTCAAAACCTCCTCTCTAGAAGTTTCAAACGAGTTGTATTTCAATTTTGGCAGGCCTTATGCCATATAAGTATTGTGCATATATGTGAGTATGTGCGTGTATGTGTGTAAATGTGTGTATATATATATATGCTATTATATTGAATTCTCAAATATTAATGATTTTATCCGTAAAAGTAGTTGAAAAAAGTCAAGAAAGAAACAGAATTGCCGGTGTGTTGAATTCAACTAAAGCAAGTGTGCAGAAGGAATCATACCTGACTGGCAAAGTAGTCCATGTGTTATAGTTATTTTTTAGAAAAGTATTTATTCATCTGCGAGAGCATCTGCAAGACACTCTCCCCTCATGCTTGCTGCTATAAACTTACCTTTATCTTCAGAACAGAATCACTGTGTGTGTGAGTCTTGGATAATTTTCTCATGATCTCAGCACCAGTCACAGGCCCAGAAGAGCCACCAGCAGGTGGAGGGCGATGGGCTGTTCCTTCTAGGAGCATTGTATGCTCGCTGACTGTAGCTGAAACAAGCAAACAAGTGCTCTCGTTAGTATATATATACAGGAAGTCAATAATATCTACTATTAGATCCATTTATTTATAAACAAATTCCATCTCTAAACCTACACAACGCAGCAAAATTTTCAGTCCACAAAAACTCTTGGTGAACAGCAGACATGGGCTGTTCCTTCTAGGAGCATTGTATGCTCGCTGACTGTAGCTGAAACAAGCAAACAAGTGCTCTCGTTAGTATATATATACAGGAAGTCAATAATATCTACTATTAGATCCATTTATTTATAAACAAATTCCATCTCTAAACCTACACAACGCAGCAAAATTTTCAGTCCACAAAAACTCTTGGTGAACAGCAGACCATGCCCAGAAAACAAATAAACAACAACAAAAAAAACAGTTGATTGATTCTTAATAGTTTGTTTCTGTCCAACCACAAGCAACTATTTTAGAGGAGATGGCAAGAATTCCCATACTGTATGACTGTATACAGGTTACACACACAAGCATGTTTATTGTTGCTATCACTGAGCTGGTAACTGCTACCTGGCTTATAGAAACAGATTTTTTTTCTTTTTAATTATTTTGTTTTCTCAATATTTCATACATGTCATATGAGCAAAGAAAAACATAAGCATTATATTTCTGAGTGATGTAATGTTATATATGGATGCTACAAACACAAGCTAATTGAAACAAGCCAGTAATAGAGAATATTCCAACAATGTGCATTTATTCATGTCCTTCCTCTCTATAGTTCTCATTTAAAGTAGCTATACATCAAAGACAAATGGGACAACTAAATCAGTTGCTTACGTCAAACTGGCAATGTGCAAGCTGACAAGAGAAATTTGTGCAGAATGTGCAATTTATCACAGATGAATGCAATATAGGTAAAAGCAGGATTTATGAAAATATGTCTACATAAAGGAAGGCGAACAGGAAGATAGATTTGAAGCTATTCAAATTTCCAGGAGAGCTCATAAAACTGCACGTTGCACTTCTAAAACAAGATAAGAAGCAACTAAACAAAATCCTAATTGAAATCAAGCCGATAATTACGCTGAAGTATTCTGTGCTGTAAATAACAAAATGTGTGAAGCAAAAGATCAGGTCTCCTGTTTTTTGCTGTGTTGCCCCGCCCCAGTAAGTGACACTTTTAATTACAGTATTACAATAATATTTTTATGAGTGGCTTCAAAATGGTCGTGCCCGGCGCAGGCGCTGGGCGGCAGCTTCGCTGGCTGCGCCGGTCTGTGCAGGCTGACTCCTTTGAAGGCCGGGGTCACCACGATGAACTTCATCCACTGCCTCGCTAGAGCAACCAGACCTTTCTTCAAGGTCACTAAGGCAGGAAGGCCATCACTCTGAAAACAAAACCCAAGTCTAGCACAGCATTTTAAGCAAAACTAAACTATTTCTGCAATTTATTTGTCCAAACGCAGACTTGAATCCTGTTGACACCCTTCTGCTCAAGATGGATATGTGGATATATGCTGGCAATATCCATTCAGATATAAAAAAACTAAGATAAAAATTCCTACTTAACAGTACACAATAAGCAAATATACATAACCTAAACATCTAACCTAATGAGTTAGAAATTAACAGCAGGAAACAGGACTACAGGTTATTAAATGTAGTCAAGTAATTATAATGCTAGAATTCACATCAGTCCTAATTTGACTATAGAAACAGAACTGAAATTTTAAAAGGCAAGTTTTTTTTTTTTTGCTATTAAGGATATGTAAAATACGGGTGAGGAGGGAGGTTCCTTTTTGTTAGATTTCCTTAGACAGCTACTTAATTTCAAATGTTAGAATTGGTATATTTGAAGATGACGCGCTGTGTTGTTTGCAGTAGTCAAGTAATTATAATGCTAGAATTCACATCGGTCCTAATTTGACTATAGGAACAGAACTGGAATTTTAAAAGGCAAGATTTTTTTTTTGCTATTCAGGATATGTAAAATACGGGTCAGGAAGGAGGTTCCCTTTTGTTAGATTTCCTTAGACAGCTACTTAATTTCAAATGTTAGAATTGGTATATTTGAAGATGACGCGCTGTGTTGTTTGCATTTTTACAGGGTAACTCACCATAGTGGCATCCTCAATAATAGAGTAATTTGCTTGATGAAGGTAATGGTGCAATATATTACACAGCAAACAGGAAGGATTTTCTTGCAAGAAACGAGCCACCTTGGTAAGCCTGTTGTACTTGCTTCTCAGAGGAAAGTGCACACTTTTATTCTAGAATAAAACACAACAGTGTTTTCATATATATGAAAACACTTGCAAATAACATCCTTGCATTAAGTATAAGATTTCAGCTAAGATAACATCAACTGTTTATCTGCTGCACAAACTATAATAGCAATTTTCATCATGGATACAATATAATAGCTGTATAACTTTAAGAAATGATACCTGAAAAGCTATTTTTGATACTTATATGAAATAATAAAAGGGGCTGGATTCAAATCTCACAATTTGCAAAGTTCTTTCTAGACTAATGGCCATACATGCACAGCTAGCTGAGATTTTCCAGTACATTTTCTAGTCCTAGCATGAAAAAAATAAAAACACACAAACTTTCTGATTTGGTTTAATGTATGAAAACGAAGAAGGCAGCAATAAAAAAAAGAAAATTTTGCAAAAGATGATTTTAAGTGCAGCGCAAAATATGACCAATTCTGGAAGTGAAGAGTTAAAAGAGGTGCTAATTTTGTCACTGAAAATGAATACATATTACACTGCTCTATTCTGATTTCCTATTGATTTTACCAAGGTCTTTTACCTCTAATGCCTCTGTCATAATACAGCCCATAACAGCACAGATCCGCAGAGTTCCTTCAGTGTCTAGTTTATTCAGTGAGGATTTCACTTGATCAATGGGAACAAGCCAAGCACCAACTGCAGGAGTTGCAGTACTCAGGAGGTTCAGCTGCCTGTTGAGAAGACCGCCAAGTAGCAGATACAATCAACAGCAGCAGTTAGCAAGATTTTCTAATATTGTTATGAGCTAGTGTCAAATTGGTGCAATACACAAAAACTGGAACAACACAGAAGGCACGTCTTTATACATTCACACATAACATGCTTTCATTCATTCCTGTCACCACTACTCCTTGTCTTCCTATTTCTATTTCCTGCCTATAACATAAAACTTTGAAATTCTCAAAAAAATTGAATTTTAACTATTTTTAGTTAAAATTTTAGTTAAAACATTTTACTTTAGCTATTATATAATACATATACAGAAAAAAGGCAAAAATATCAGAAAAAAATCACAAATATTTTCTAATTTATAGCTATACGCTGAGTTTAACTACTGAGAGAAAGGAACATCTGGTTTGCTCCATTATAAGAAGTACATAATGGGTTTATTCTATACAAACATGTACTAAGTTTCATCACAGTTCACTTGGAGCTTCGGAGATGTTTAGTATCTCTTACAGAGTATTCCATTTCAAGTTTTCAAGCATTTACACACTTCACAGTGCAAGAGCAGTAAATCACAGGCCCCAGGCTGAGGGTCAAAGTGCTAGGTGGTTCACTTCTCTAACATCTCTCTCCCAATCAAAACGAACACTTCCTCCATTCCTCCTTCACAGATCTCATTCATACTCAGTGCTGTGTTTTTGCTCTTAAATCACAACTACCTAAGAATTTTTTGGCAACATTTCCATATAAATTCTGACAAATTTAGGTAGCCCCCTTACTGTGATAGGTGTAGGTTCCAAAATTGTCATTTGCATAGAAGCTTCAACAACTGTTAACGGTACATTCAGATAACTCATTCAACATTACATACATTACATGCTGCCAATATGACTATATTTTACCATGGCAGAATTATTTTATTTCTTCTAAATTAGATTAAGTTATACCTTGAAAATATATGGGCTGGAGAGCGCACATTGGTAGGAGCTGCAAAACTAAACCAAATTTCTTTGATTGTTAGCTTCATGCTGCAAGAGTCAGGGGGAGGAGGCATCAAGGGCAAATCTTTTTTCAGATCATCGGATTCAACCCCTTCATCCTTTAAAAAGAAAAACCCCAAGAGTAAAAAGTTTTTCAAAAGTGCTTATGTCAAAAGGCACTAGTATAGTAGACTACGTATCATCCGCAATAAATGATTTTATATGGATTTAGACAAAGATAAACCAATGCTGTCCAGAAACTCTTTTGAGACAATAACAAGAGACTGCAGAAAGACTGCTTACAGTCTCTCTGTAAGTTTAGTGCACAGTTTTCGTCCAGTTTGCACAAGAGATCAATTAAATTGTTAATTTTATGTTATGTTCATTAATTATTATTATTATTATTATTTTTACAAAAAAAAAAGGTACCAGTGAACTCAATATAGTATGTATGTACCTGCTCATCTGAAACTGAATTTCCATTAATATCTGAGGAGGGACTTATTCTATCACAAGGAAGGTTATCATCAGACACATCAGTATTATAACCACTACCAGTTGGAGAATCTGAAGAGTTATTTGATGCAAGCAATCCACCTCTCTCCGTAGCACTTGATTTTCCCATGACTCCAAATGCATTATACAACACTGCTCCAGCTTGTCTTCCTCCTATAAAAGCATACACACCACAAGCGTAAATTTTTGCTGTGCACAAATTTCCATCAGGTTTTATGTCTTGCAGAAAAGATCTGCACTTCAGAGGAAAAATATCTATGTTTTTGTTTAAACAAGATGCAACTACATTTTATACCTAACAGTTTAACAGCTGGTTATACAGCATCCAAAAGGCACAGGGACTGCTTGTAAACACTGTTCCTTGCAAAGAAAAGCTTGGATGACAGAAAATACAGAAAATATATACTTTTTTTTTCCCCTTTAAGAACTTAGCTTTCCTTCCCAAAACAAAGCTCTGACCATCTCTACACAGATACTTGCTGTGGATATGACTGTAAGGTCCGGATTTAAGAGAAGAGTGAAAGTACCAGTTTCTACCTTAACTTTAGATTCTAAAACTGTAAAACACTGTAAAATAATCTCTAGGATTATTTTAAACACTATCACAACTGGTAATGATTGTTATAACAACTCATTTTTAGAAAAATCCCTTATTTGATCTAATTTGTGGACTATTTAAACATGTACTATTTAGTATCAGCAGCTTTTACTTACATATTTTTCACTAGAAGCATTAACAACAGATTTCTTTTCAGTTTCATGAAGCAAGATAATATAAAGCCTACATAGTTTTACCTTTTATTGTTAAGTTTTCAATCCCACACTCAAACATTATCCAGCCCCACTTCTCTTGACTAGGACCGATCCGAGTTACATCTGGAACAGCTTGCGGATCTGTTTCATCCACAAAAGAAAACTCATCCAGCTCTTCCAAAGTGAAAAGAACTTTTGATTTCCCAAAAGGAATAGCTGTTATTGCACAAGTTCCAATATCTGTGAAAACAAACATATTTAGCACTGTGTTATAAGATGAAAAAAGTTTACACTGACGAATGAAGTTCAGAGTGTTTCGGGAGTATCACCCCTTCAGTATTCCTCATGCATGTTGGGGGGGGAAACACCAACAAAACCTAAGCACAAGCAAGGGCAGGGGAAAAGCACTCCTTCTACATTTAAGAACTCTTTTTCTCCAATGTGTTTACATGGAAGCAACAGTAATGGGGAAGGAGAAGGGTAATTTTTAAGTTTGGAAAAGCAAGGGTCAAGTAAGACAAACTAAAGCTGTAGCTTAATCTTAGCAACTTCACCTTTTTTTTGACATGTGTCTAAACAAGCTTTTCAAATTTTAATCTGAAGCTGGCTACTGGCCTGAAATTACTTTATACTTCACCAAAAACCCATTCCCAATTAACACTGTCTTTCCTTCATTGCTGTTAAATTTTTGACATATCTCTTGGATAACAGGGTTACTAGGTATCTGTTTGGTATTAAATGCAGCATAGTTTGAGGACACTTAAAAATGAAGTTCTAATTTTAATTCAAAGCCTACTTGTATTTGGAAGCATGTCTACGTTGGTGGGATGTAAAGCATTAAGTCTTGCTAAGAATAGACGGACTCGAGTAATTTTTAATTCATTATGATCCCTGCTCCCTAAGATCCAAGAGAGGGCTATGCCTCCTTGCCTTCTTTGATGTCAACACGCAGCTTAGACGCAAATCCTCCCTTCTAGTGACATTTCTGAAAGAACGTTTTCAAATAATGATATACCTATTGCCTATTACCTCACACACAGAATTATGTCAAATACCTGGGGAAACTAACCACACTAAGTCAATTTACATGACTTCCATATAAACCTCACTCTTTGCCTCCAGCTGATAACAGCAGTCATTGTCAAAGTACACCAAACATTAATTTTTCTAGATAGATAATTCTCAAATGTTTTAAACGGAACATAATGAGCTTTTGCAGCTAGAACTCAAGAATACTTGGCCTTTTCGAATGTCTGCAGTGTACGTAATATAATACACTACTGCAAAGAATCCATCCATTACTAAATAGAAATTACTATTTTGGTGCTTTAGGTTTTTCCCATTTTTAACTTGCTCATTCATTTATGCCTGTGTTTTTTTACTCATTGCTTGGCTTTTAAGTATTCTTGTTTCACAGAGAGCACTTTCCCATGTTCTAAAGATTTCTGGACTTTATGGGACAAAATAAAACATGGCACTAATACAGACAGCACATCAAATATGAATCAAAATTAACTTAAACAATAAAAAGTAGGTATGCAGAAGATACTCAAGCCTATTTGTCAGGCTGCGACACAACAAAAATCATCTTTGCTTATGGTCATCTTAACCTTTTCCAGGACCAGAATTTGAAGCAACTGAATTTAATCCACAACCTTTTGAAAGAATTTACGTATCACAAGCAGGAACGTGTATCTTAGTTTCAGTTTCAAAGATCCTATAATTAAAAACATACAGCTTGCCATGCTGAAGCTGACAGCACAGCACATACATTATACCCTGAAATTGTGACTTAAATCTTGAAATTGTTAGATAGCAAGAAGAATGCAAATAAGCATAATTCATTCCCTGCATAAGGTGACAAACAACGGCAGTCATGTACTGTTCAGAGAAAGAGATCAACTGGAAACAAGGGAGACTGGCCAAAATAATATCAAAAGGTATCAATTTTGCCAGCACAACCCATCTACCACACACACTCCTTTGGAATTAGCCTCAGTATCTTACACTCTGCCTACATTTACAATGCACTAGTGTATTTTAATGCACTAACGTTATTAGCAAAATAACAGAAAATAATTCAGAGTAAATATCCTAAACCTGTTGTGTCAAGGCCTCTAAGTTGTCCATGAACTCGATGAATGTTCAACTTAGCAGCAATTTCTTTTCCTTTTTCTGCTCCAGCATTGGATCTCAGTGACCCAGAAGACTGAGGCTGCATTTTACTGGCTTGGATGTAGCGATCAAAAGTAACAGAATTCCTCCCAGTTTCTGCACTGTTTGAAGTCTCCTCAACTATACCCCTATGAAGAGAAAGGGAAAAACGATCAAGGAAATTGCAGATAGACACAATTTGATCTTTTTTTTTATGCAATGTTGGCACACCAGTATTAAGAATTCTTCAGAATCCGGAAGACAAACATACTTTCATAGGGGAAAATATATATATATATATATACACTTCTATGCTGTGTGACCGATAAGAGCTAAGTGAACTTCCAAAATGGTTTCAAAAGAGTTCTTCCACCTCTCACCAAACCTTCAGTTCTAAATAGGCATTAGAGTTAATTTACAAAATCACTGAATACACATTATCTTGTTAAACTCAATCATGAAGTTTTTTCAAGATCTTGTTTCTGAACTACAAAAGCATGGGTCAAAAAGCTGGTGCCACTCCAGGTGTACAAGAGAACTGTCTTTTGACTAACATTACAGTAAAGAGTCACAGATAATTACACACATTATTCTTACCTATTCATACGAACTTGTGTAGCAATTCTATCAAAACACAGGGCTACTAATGAAACATGAGTCACAGTTTTGCCAGATGTAACCCCTGGGGATTCATCAACGGATGCTTGCAATAAACACAGGTTCACCTATATGTAAAATTTCCCCAAACAGTTAAGAAGTTTAGAAAAAAGTGTTACATTAAACATACATCACAATTTTCTGATACAATTTTGTTGCATGCCTCTGATGACAATTTTTTTTTTTTTTAAGATAGCCATCAATATCTGTAGTGGTCATTACTTAATTTACACTTTTATCACAGTAAGATTAAGCAGCTCAAATTCAGCAACGTATTTATCACAAATAGCAAGCTTCACTTAAGCTTTTCAGGAACAAGGACAAAATAAGTGTAGTTTTTGAAATACACATTAGTAGTAAAAGGCTAATCAAAAAGCTCTTACCTTCGGTACAGTGACATTGGCCTGAAGACCTTTAATTGTCACATTGTCTTGCTTTAGTGAAAGACTTGTCTGCGCTGGTCCCTGGTTTGTTGTTCCTGTAGTAGTAGGGTCTACTTTCATTCCTCTAATATCCTGTTTGGAAGATAACTTGGAGAGGGGAAAAAAAAAAAGAATGTAATCACTTAATAGTTTTATTCTCATTGCAATTCAGAGCTGCTCAGCTAAGGAAAAAAAGCGTAACTTAATAGCACTGAAACAATGAGAGATTCTGACTTTATTTAAAGCACAATACCATGATTTTGGGAACAAGGACTGCAGCACCTGCAGACGGGTTAAGTTTAGACCAATCTACAATAAGCTTTTAAGCGATAAGATTTGAGCTTAAAGTTTGTCTTCTACATATACAAGTTATACGGAATTCATTACACATATAAATTGGTTAAACTATGAAGCCTAACATATGTAACAAACCCAAAAGCATAAATACAGGAATAGGCATAAAATTGGATAGAAAGATCTTGTAGAAGCACCATGCAAGATTTTCAAGATAACTTAAAGTATCAGGTGAACTTCAAGAAAAACACATACGCTTCTATAACTTAGTTTGAAATCTCCTCTGCCTCATGGTAACAAGCTCCTTAACTATTGTAAACTAATAAACTGTATATTGCTAAAACTTCAGTTTGACCCTGAAAGTAACAGAAATCTCTTCGGAAGATCGTATGTAACAGTTTGTTATAGAAGTGTACACACTGGATAAAATAAAGATGTATTCCAAAATTAATATATGCAGTTATCTACTGTACACCAAAACATTAAATTAAAACTTTTTTTTCTATATAAAACATAGAAAATTATTCTTGCAAAACTCAATGCATTTTTCTAGTTCACTTCCTTACATTTTCGGAGAAAGTGGTTTTGCTGTTCTGTACAGCGTCGCGAAGCACTTTGCAATGCAGATCATCCACAATCGCTGCTGGGTGTCGGGAAGTAGCACAATGCACCATTGCTTCTATGTATCTGTGAAAGGAAAAAAGCCCCCAAAACTATCACGACCATAACTGTCAAACTTCCAGTTTCACATGATACACCACCAAAAGCATTTATTTAACATTACAAACAGATAAATTAAACACTAAGAGAGAGAAAGCATACTTCCTCATGCAGCAAAATATTTTCCCAACTTCTGTCCAATAAACACAGAATTACACTCACCAAGTACAAGACAAGCTTGTTTTTAGACCATTTTTAGCATAATCACTTAAACAGAACATTATTAAAGGGAAAACTAGTTACCTGTCTAGTGCCTCTGCCACCAGAGGAGTCAGAACTACATCTACAGCTCCCTTTACTTCAACAATTGCTGTTGTCCTGGTCTGGGAGACAGGGTGATCCAAGGTCCATTCTTCTGTTATTGTTTCATCATCTGTGTTTTCTGCAGACTTCTTTTCCAAAGGAGTGTAAGGTGTACTAAACAAGTCAAACACATATTAATAATCTAGACTTCTAAAAGAAATACGAAAACACACATCACTAAATACTTTTATCTTGTATCTTATAATAATCTTATACTTCAATAGAATTTCAAAAAGAGTAAAACAGAAGAACCAAGACTAAATGAATACAAATCCATTTCAAGGTAGGCATCTACAAGCATTCAGAAGTCAACTGTTTCAAGTGATAAACAAGTAGCTATGCATAATAAATTGATGTTCAGCCTCATTTGCAAACAAGAAAGTATTCCTCATGATTAACAGTGTATAACCAAGTCTTCAACATGCTAAAATTCTTCTGCAGTATTCCAGTATGATTTTAATTCTTAGTAGGCTGGAGTCTGAGATTTTACTGTAGTTCAGAAAGCACAAGAATTCAATGCTTTCATGGTATACTTTTTTTTTAAAATTTAAACCAAACCCAAACATTTTAAAACAAAATTCTGTATGCTGTTCTAAAATAGACTACTACTGAAAATACTGCTGACAAATTAAATTTTGGAAGAGTATTAAGATTCAAAATATTTAACAAGAGTATCAAGAAAACACTGCTCTCTCATTTTTTAAAAAATATTAACTATGTTATGCAGTTATTTAACTTACTTGGACGTTGATCCTGTAAGCTGCATGCCTCTGTCCAGTAATGAATTAGCTGTGAGACCCTGTTTAACAATCTAATAACAAAGTATAGAGAAACTTATTACATTTCTTCTATTAACCAAAGCTCTAGCAATCACTTGCAACTGCATGCTGTTCTACAGGGAGCATTTCCAAGTACAATAATGAGAATTCAGATCACACATGTTATCTGCAGAATCCTAACTTGGTCTTTTTTCCTCTAGGACGTCCCAGCCACATAGTCAAAGATAGGAAGTCTGAAATCCAAGGTATTTGTCAACTAAAGACAAAACTTCTAAGTTTCTCAAGACTTAATTCACAGTGTGTATCTGACTACTTTAGTTTGTTTTGAATTCTTATTCCTTTCTCCAGTGGTCCTGCTCCTCCCCTCAACCCCTGATTCCCCAGTCTTCCATACCTTAAAAGTTGGGATAGAAAGTTGCTCAAAAGATGATGAACTTTCTTCACTCGTTGGTGTGTCAAGGTCTAAAGGACGATGTAATGAGGATTTTGAAGTTCTTTTATTAGCTGGATGCTTTACTGACCAGTTGATCACCTGGAACTGTGTAAGGTAGTTTTGGTAACATGCCATTACAGGCTGCTGTGAAGTTATTTGCTCAGTTTCTACAGTCTTCTCAGATTCCACAATATACATGGGATCATCCTCTCCTCCCAGAGCAGAAACAAATGATGCCTGTGAAGGATGAGTCTTAATTGGCAAAGCTTTAACATCTTGGCTAATCTCTCCATGGGTTGTAGTTGTTAAGGGCCCTTCTGTACTGTGGTAAATAGATCCTCTACTGTAGTCAATTTTCTGAGCTTGCTTTTTTCTCTTCTTCCTTCCTGGATAAGTTCCCGGACCTTCATCACTACTTATGGGTTCAAACTCTTCTGCTGCAGAGAAGTAAGCTTCGCTATCAGCCATTGACATACTGGAATCCATGGAGCGATACTGGTGAAACGAGTTCGAGTCTGCAGAGGGAGTGTAGGGGAAGGACCCAAAGCTCCTCCTCTGCTTGGGAGAGTCCAAGACGTTCTCATCGCTGCGAGACACGTCGCTGCTGAACTGCACGCCGACCGGCACGGGCTGCTTGTCTCCGTAGAAGGCGGCCGTGAGGCTCTTGGTGCTGCCCAGGCGAGCGGAGCACACGGACGCTTGGCGCTTGAGCGGGGACCTCAGCGGGGACTGGCCAACGCACCTGTCCTGGGGGCCGGGGGAGGCTGGGCTGCCCTCTGCACCCTCACCCAGGGCGCTGGAATCCGAGATTAAAACCTCATTTGAGTATTTTGCTATCAGTGCTTTTTCTTTTACATTACAGGAGCTGCCAAACGTTTAAGCTATTTTCCATTAGCACAGAACTTATTTCTGTAACAAGGGCTGCACGGTGAACTCTGCCACTCATTAGTCCACTTGTCTATGTGGAGACAAAGTGCAAATGAGCTGTATTGCATGCATCGTTGTCATACATGCTGGATTTTTTAAAATCCTTTGAGTAAACCAAACTTGCATTCAAACTAGGAAATTAATTTCCACAATGACATTAAAAATAATCAATACTGTATAAATTGTTAAATTTTACATTTATTCTTGCATAATGTGTTCAAGAGCCCAACTACGCTTCTATTCTGGATGAAGATGAAGAATACTAACCTTCCATGACTATCTTCTCTTTTTGCACCAGACAAGTACTCCTTTGGTCCCAAGTGATCCTCAGAAGCAGAAGACGGGCTTTCCTTCTCACCTGCAAGCAGGGGAAGGGCAGCACTAGAGCTGCTTGTTTCCTCAGAAGACGATGAGGAGCTGTGGGAACGTAATGGCACCTGTAGGCTCAGATGTTGCATCTTTCTTTCTATTTCTATACCCACAGATCTACAATCCCAATCTTTTCGTTTCACACCATTTGCTTTGCCTAGGTTCAGAGAAAAAAAAGAAAGAAAAAAAAAGGATATCTGGTAAGACAACTGCAACAGCCTCTTCCCTGACCCCTAAAATGCAAACCCTTATTAAACAAAAGCCCTGTGTTAGAGAAGCACACATACTGGTATCTCATACTAACAAAAGTAAATAAATTTATAGCAACAATATAACAAATTAATTTGGTTGAGTGCTTTCTAGACAAGTAGAAGAGCTGTAAGTCAAAAAATTGTTTTACTCAGAAAGAGTTTCAGCAGATGTAGTGAGTTTGCTCACTACTCCCAAGTATCACGCTACTATCAGTTCTCAGAAGATCACATGGGCCTGTGTTACTACAGGACCTCTTGTACCAGAATGCAACAACTGCTCATTCACGACAAACAAGCAGACCAAAAAATAAATAAAAAAATTACTCATGTTCTCTCAAGAAATTCAAATTTTGCGCAAACAGAATAAAACCACATTTCCATGCACATTCTCACCATCTAAAATTTTAGGTATCTCCTTAGTAATTATCCATTCTCCTGGCTGCAGTAAGGACTGCCCATAAAACATATCAGATTCTGCACTTGTACTTGAGAAAGCAGAGCTGCTTGAAGGTGTTAGATCCTCCAGTTTGAAGAAGTCTAGTCCTGTTACTGTGCCACCAAAGAATCGACAACCACCAAGGCAGCCACACTTGTTCTTGCTTCTCTTATTCTTCAAATTATCATCAGGCCACAAAAACCACAATCTACAAAAAGCCAGAAAAACAGAGAGCAAAACAAAAACACGACCACATCAGATTTAAGTATGTTTAAAGTCAGAGAAAACAAGATTAAAAGATATTCCTCTTTTACAAAGGACGTCCTGTTTCATGTAACATGAAATGAATAAGCAAGATTTGTATCTAAAAGGGAGATACCAGGCATAACATGAAAGGTTGGCTCCACAAGTAAGAAATCATAAATTGTGTGAAGGGCTTGGGCAATCATGCTCATGCACTGATCACATCCACCTGCCACAACACAAGCTAGTAACAACCACCCTGCCACTCAGCACGGATGCAGCACTGCACACATACTGCACGCTGGTATTTGCTGCTCCTTTCAGAGGCAATTGCTCCTTGGGGAGCAGTGACATGTGACATCATGTTCAGAGCTGCCCAGGTCTCTTTAAGGCTCATTTTCAGTCAAGTCCGAATAAGCTGGATTTCCTCCTGCAGTGGTCCTATCCAGAAGACCCCTGCGCATCAAGGGGCTGGTGATACATATGCCACCTTGAATACATGCAGGCCTGTGCTGTGCTGCACTGTGCTGCACGCGGCAGCTTCGCCTCCAGCTCTTGCTGCAGGATAAACCTTGCTGGCTAATTGTAAACCAAACAGTCTGTTGGCAGCTCCCATTTGGCACCTGCAATTAACCACTGGAGTGTCCCCATCTTCATCTAAAATGGCAGCAACTAGTTCTTACATGCACATCCTCTTTTACCCATCATCACAGCTGAGCATTCAACATGCTTAAAAAGCAACATATAAAAAACCCAAACATCTGCAGTCTATGCAAGTAAAAAATACAAAGTCACACCTCTAGATGAATATATGACCTTAAACAAAAACCACGTCATTGAAATGCATCTCCTCCAACAGTGCCTCTTACCTCTTAGTTCGGTTATCGTGTGTTTCTAAGAAATGTCTCTGTACTTCATGTTTAGAGGGGTGATCTGCAGCTAAAGCAATATCTGCAGTGATGAGCCCCAAGTTGACAGATCCAGCTTCCAGCCAATATGCCCTCCTTAATATAGGCTGAAGACCAGTTCTGCAATTGTTCACTTGCTCAACATACTGTCTCAGTTGAAAGTCTTGGATAGCAGCACTTACACCTTCTCCCACAGACTGGTTATGGAGGTTGCAGTTTGCAATACGTATAGCGCCCATCTACAAACATAATGGGAAGAACAAACAAGTTAAAATAATAACAACCAACCCAAACCCCACAATCTCTGACTAGCTGCAGTGAAACAAAGAATGAGTCATAGAAAAAAATATAAAGAAGTCTATTGATAAAGAATTATTGTAATTCCTGCAAGTCACACACTTTTACCTTGATATTTGTAGCACAGCCATGTTCTACCACATACAGATCTGCTCCATCCATGGCTAAGCGTGTCATAGTGTACTTTAAGTCATCAGATGTAGGGCATGGTCCAGGGACACAGTTCATCTAAAGAAAGATTTAAACATACATTAGGAAACTAATTAGATTTGTTCTTATCCTTTTATTTATCTTCTGTTTAACAGAGGATTGTCACTAGAGCAATATTTCTTTATTCTACAGTAAGGACATAAATATGAGGAACGCGGTGTCTGTCTGGATTCTACTGCTGACAGTCATTTTCTCTAGTGCATGCTTAGAGCTTTGGCCAGCAGTATCTGCAGAATCTCTTGTCTCTCCTGGCTTCCACCAGCAAAAGGCAAATCCAGTCCTCCAAACACCATATAACAAAAGCTGAAACCTACAGATTAAAAGCAGGAAAAGGTCAAAAATGAGAAAAAGTTCATGGAAACTGTCAGCTCAAGTCTCCCATCAAAGCACTGCTTCATATAGCAGGAGCTATAACTCACTGGCACGGAAGAGGCAAGAAACCAGACATGACTCCTATGGATACTGGGTGAAAAATAATTCATACAACATAAAAGCATGTGGTGCATCAGAAAAAAAAATCCACAGAAAAATCACTTTTAAAGCATTATTAGCTATAATTTATTGATGAGGCATCCAAACTGCTTATATACTCCATATCGCTTGATTATTTTAAGACCAAATTTAAAAACTGCTCTAGAGAGTGCATAGTGATAAATTAAGAATGATGAAAGTATTACCTTAGAGTCACAAAACCGACGATCAATTCCATGCTGACAAATTACTACAGATTTTGGCCTTTCCAATTCAAACTCCCGGCACACCACGTGAAATACAAAGCTCTGTCCCCACTCCAGAAGGCATGCAAGCTGTAAGCAAACAACAAGTTGCCTACGAATAAGTATTCAAATTAAACTTCTAGGGTTCGGCAGATTACTGAAAGAACATCAGCAAATACTGGCAGATGATGAGGAATAAAAACAAACAAAAAAAGGAAAAAGCCACATTAACGCACTGGTCGAATGGCTTTGCTTACACATGACCCAGGATTGTACTTTAGTGTGTGTGTGTACGGGTGTGTGCAATGACATGCAAGTTCCTGTAACTGATCATGGATAGCACTGTGACATTAAAAAGTTTTCTAAACTATTTCCTCACCTAAGGAAACAGTTTTGCTCTTACAGCCAATGAAGCAGTTATTAACACAGAACTCACTTTAGAACAGAAAAGTGCTGAATGTGGCTGGGTCTAATAATTAGCCTATTGTTGAATTAAATCTTTTATAGAGTTAGTTTCTTCATAAAGGAAATGAATCATGACTGTCTCTATTATGAGAGGGAAATGAGTTTTCTTTGGCTACCCAAAGGAAAGCACACATAAAATCAGCAGTAATTTAACCAGAATACAGCTGACCGCTTTGCACAAAATCTCCCTTATCCTCCCCTCACCTTCATGAATTTCTGCAATACATTGCACAATGAAAGGAAAAAATAAACTTAAAAAAGGCCCTGAAACAGCAAATTTGAGCATTCAAGCTTCACAACAATGGTGACTTAAAAAAAAAAAAAACACACACATGCAATGTATAAAACTGAAAATGGCTTTGTAGGATAAGAAAACCCTTGAACTGCATTAACTAGGTTTATTTAGAGAGCAGTAGAGTAAGTACCACAGATTGCCTGAATCAGTGGTAGCATTTTGGGAAATGGCTCTACAAAAATCTGTATACAGGGCACAAAAATAACTACCTGGAGTCTATTCTTTAAATTCACTGAAATCACCTATATGTCATTTACAAAATTGTGCCTTGTTTTCTTTTTATTTGCTGCCGAAGTCTTCCAGTGAAAGCAGCTTTTAAATCCTAGAAAACACTGCCAGCTTTTGCACAAATGAGGTAGTGTAACAATGTACAGGGGATCACCACTATATAGAATTAATCTATTTTTCCCGTGTTTCAGAATATAGCGACAAAGCAATCTTTTCTAAAGACCTGGCAGCTCACACCAATAAACCAAAGTGTGTTCCCTATCATATGCTTGAAGCCCTCATTGTGTTTAGAAAAAAATACAATATAAATGGCAAAAGTAAAAGAAGGAGCACTGAGACTGACCTTAGAAACTCTAATGGTGTGATAGGAAGTTGTCTTCTAGTAGCGTTTCCAAGTATTAGAAGTTGAAGGGAGAAGTGTTACTAAGCTATCAATTACCCTCCAAGTTCTGAACCCTGCCCATTCTAGATTCCATCAAGTTATCATCTTATTTGTCTCCTACTTTAAACTATGGTTTTGTTCACAGTTTTCTGCAAAAAGCTAAAACTTACACATATGCAACAAACACACTACATTTGTGTGTAACAACAGGCACATTTGCTACTAACTTGTTCATGCTCTTTTACCATCAACCTTTCAAATTCTCATACAACACCAGACACTCAGTCACATCTAGATTTAAGATGAATGTCAAATTAATCTTATTTGGCATTCCCTATCCATCTAAAGAAATGGTTAGATTTTCAAACTTTAAGCTTGAGATTACCTGAAGTACAGATGCACCTAACTCAGCTGCTACCTTACACTTCACAAAGTCATTGCTACAGCAGTTTTTTGAGAAAGACGTAATATTTGGTATTGAACAGTTTCTAGAAGGTACCTGCGGTGCTGTAACTTTGGCTGTGAGGCTGCCAGCCTGCACATCAATGAGCCAAGCATACTCCAAAGTATCACTGCCCAGAGGCAGGCCTTCTGCTGAGAACATGGCGTGCGCCCGCAGCTGCAGGCCCGACAGGCTGATGTGGCCCTCTCGAAGAGCTTCATCCGCTGCAGGCCGCTGTGGAGAACAAGTAATTCACTGAGCTAATTCATCCACACAGACAATTTCTGTAAGCTTACTAACTATTTAGAGCAAAGGAGTGCACAGCTAGCTGACAAGCTACAAATAACAACACTTAACTCTGTCTCTTTACATGAGCCTCATACTCAAGAGTATGGCGTGTGACTCCCCTCTTCCCCAACCCTCCGCAAAGCGAAGAAGCTCACAGCTCAAAACAAGATCAACTCTAAGATACAGGCCTACCTGTATGATTTATTCCAATAAAAGTCACAGAAACTGTGTGAAAGGTGTAGCTTTTATATGTACTAACCTGTGTTGCTTTGAAACTATATGCTTAGAACAAATGAAACACATCTTTAATTGTCTTCTATAATTGCAGAAAATTCAGGTATGATCAGGTTGTTGAGACCTTTTATTGAAAATTTACTCACTAGTTCTCAGACCAAATTAAATAGTACTCTGACTTCCTGAAAGCATTTTCTGCAGAAGTTCTAAATCTAATTTAAGAGAACAGAGTCTTTTCTCCTCTGCCCATGGCTAGAAATGCAAGATGGCAAGAAAAAGATTTAAAAAGGACACACATGATTTTTTTTTCAATGCTCTTACAATTCCTTAATAAACTTTGTGTGTGTGCAACAAGAAAGTTCTGATCAAAACAGAATTCAATTTTACAGTCATTACAGCTTCCCCAACACAAGAACAAAAACCAACTCCTTACCTGATAGTTGTCATTCAGAAATAAATTCACTGGAGACAGTACAAGCTGAAGCATTGTTTCCCTAAATCCTTTCTTCATCTCAAAACACAGTCTTTCCAAGAAGGCTGTGGGGCACTCAGGACCATCTGGACTGCAATGCTAAAAATAAAATAAAATAAATTAATTAATTAAAAATAATCAAACACATGCATGTTGGAAGCTCAAAAACCATAATACTGTTGAATTCTCAGATTAGAAACAAAAGTCAAAATGGGAGGTATGCTACTTTTCCTTCACTTGTTACTTAAGAAAAAGCTTGTGCAACTTCAAATCCTTTTGACTTAATCACACAAACTGAAATTCAAACTCATTTGGGAGAACTCATTAGAAGATGCTTCTTAGTTGCTTCTAATACAGAAAGCAGCAGCAGAAGTCAGCTGTGCTACTTATCAGAGAAATCATAATGGTCCGTTAAAAAGAATGGACTACGGATCACACAAAATCAAGTTCGCTGAGTACAATTATACAAAAAAAATCCTGTTCTCCCTTTCAGATACACTAAATAATTTACGTTTCAAATTGTTTTGAAGGACCACAATTCAAATTTTATACTCATGGGTTTAGAGTGCATTTTCCCTACTTAATAGCTGCAGGAAGGTAAATTTAATTCAAGATAAGGCAATTGAAGAGTCAGATGAAGCAAAATATTTCAAGATTCCAAGGCACTTACCACTGGTAGTCGCCCATGCACTTTGTACAAGTTAACAAGCACAGTAATATCCCATGGACGCAAAGTAAGAGGGTGAATTGGTTTGACTAAACTTTCGTTTTCCTTTTTGTCATTTTCTACTCCAACAGCTGTCCATCCAGAACTTGAAGATGTTGACAGCGACAAAACAGGGCTTGAAATAACTTCTTCAAAATCAGTGTACATGTCATCTTCTCCGAAATAGTTTTCCTGAGAAAAGGAATTATTTGCTATCGCCACACAGAAAACAAAGTAAAAATATACAGGCAATATAATGAAATACAAATCCAGAGTTTTTCTGTAAGTTAACCTCCCGTAAAATAAGCAGTACAGTTATAGCTAAATAGTTTTCTTTTTATGAAAAAAAGGTCATTTTTATTACATGTATAGTTTAAGTACAATTTTAAGTCATCTACTTTGCAGAAGAGGGGCTCAAGTTCTCAAAGCAACCATATCCTGGATGTATGCAGCACCAATAACTATTCTGAAACACTACTATTCATATTTTTAAAGAGACTTTGTGTTTTTAAGATATGTAACTTTGAGAGAATTGACACAGAACACTTCCTGTTGGTCTTTCACGCAGCCTTCTGAGACTTACCAGAAAATACAAAAACTTTATATATGCTTCCAAAATACTTGTTCATAAAAAACTCCCCTCAAGTCTAAAACTCAACTTAGTTTCAAGTCACTCCCCACTCAGATATCCAGGACCAAAAAGCAAAAAAACTTGGTTAAATTCTACTGGGAAGCAAAAAAAAATTCATGATAAATAAAATCCGCTTAGTTTGTTAGCTTGTCCCAGTAGACCATTCCCTCCTGCAAAAGCCTAGACCTATACAAAAATAAAATTAATGAACAAATTAAGCCTCTCAAAAAGATTTTTCTGGATGAAGGAAGTTCTAATAAACTGTATTTTAGAGTTGGACATGTAATTTTGCTGTCTCAAACTGTGTCTTAAGTATTTTCAGCATTGCCATACTGTGTATCAACTAAGCACTGCTTAGGGGCCTATAATGTAAGTCCCTCAAAAGTTGAGCAAAGCTCACATGCTCTGCTTTAACTGAGAGAAGTTAGAGGCTGGGTGTTAAGAGGGATCTTGAAATACTTAGGGTGGCCCAGCAGAGGGTGCTAAGTACGCTGCTAACTTGCTGCTGGCACCTTCCGCAGCCCGGGAGAGCACCTAAGTCACCCTGGCTCAGTCCATAAACCCGCCAACACCAAGCAGAGCCTTTCCCCAAAAAACTACCCTCAGGAACCAAAAGCTGAGTCATTTTGACAAACGTGCACATGCAGGAGACTTCTCTTGCACATGTAAGAGAAGCTGAAGACATGCTGAAAACAACTCTTAAGCCATAAATAAGGAAAGCAAACCTAACCAAACCAGAAGGCTATCAGAAAGCTATGATAACAGGTGCTGCCAGTGCACCTGGAAACAACATGTAAGCACAAGTGACAAAGATATTAAAGCAAATGTAAATGTCTTGGAAAAAAAAATCATCTCAAGTCTTTGAAAATAACAGTTAGTTTCAACTCGAGAAATCTGTACCTGTGCCCAAAAAAACAAGTCATTACAAAACCAAGGGCTCTAACATGGCACTGTGCATCTGCACAAAAGCACAGAACGGTTGAGGTTGGAAGGGACCTCTCGAGATTGACTAGTCAACCCTCCCTGCACAAGCAAGGGGGCCTAGAGCACGTGGCACAGGGTCACTTGCACAAGAAAAGGGAGGCTGAAGAAGGAAACTGCTGTAGGAAGATGGGGGAAAAGCAACTTAATAAACAATATAAGCCAAAGATGGGTACAACTATTGGGCATATCCAAGGAAATGAAAGATTTTCAAGATATCCATTCAGCACTGGCCTATTTCTTTTCATTTTTATTTTAATAATGTGCATATTTGAAAGTCCTTCCCTGTACAAGACTTATTATCACCTGCTATTGTCTGTGTATGTGCTATGTACAAGTAAACTCTTAAAAATTTCTCTTTCAGTTTGGGTCCTGACACCCATCACCTGCCTCAGAAAATTCCTTATCCTCTGACCTGACCTGAAAACCTCCAGAAATGTTATTTTAGCCTAGACTGAAGCTGATCTTTTTCTAAAAAAGGAAGAATTTCCCTGGTAGCCAAATCAAAGTGACAAGATCAATCACCTTTCTATCTGTTGGGGCAGAGGAATAAATTGCTTCTCGCCCTCTCTCCCTGTTGAAGATCAGTAATGGAACGGAATGTGAAATAAGCAATACATACCACGATTTTAAAACTTAAAAGCCTGACACCAAGAAAAAAAATGAAAGGATTAAAAAGAGTTTTATACATCCACTGAAGTAAATTTTTAAATGAAAGTGATCCTGTCATCCTTCCCACTTCCTCCCCATGCTCTTGGGAATTCCAGAAATTTCATTAAAACCAATTAAAACAAAATACAGGCAGAAAACAAATTAGGACACCAGAGAACTCAAAGATGCCCTGAAAACACAGGTTCTGCTACATTTTTTTTTAATAGTGGGTGTTAATGAAGGCATCTTTCTTTTAACTACTGTTAATTTAAAAGAAGCCCTGAAAATCGGCAAAAGTCAAAGAAGTTTTCTGCACATGAAGACAGGAATATATACTATTTCTCAAAAATAAAATTATGCTGATATAGGCCCCTACATACATATTAGAGGTCTGCTCATGAGCCTATGGCCAACTGAATTCATCTCAGTTATATCACATTACCAAATGAAGTTCTTTGAAACTACTTTTACAGAAACCTTTCATCTAAATTCATATCCTCTGCATACAGAATTCAGATTTTTTTCTGCCTCAAACTAATTGCTTCCCTTTTGTACATAAGGTCATCCAGAAATTTAGCAAGCTGTGTTCTTCCTCCTACCTTTACACACAGGAAGGCTTTGAGCAGGGGCCCATACAGGGTTATCTGAGAATCCGGGGAGAGCTCAAGCTCCACGTGGAGCTTGTCAGGAGGCAGCTCTGAGGGATCAAGGGGAAGGCGCGTTGAAGCCGTGGGAGATGAAACGACGCTGTCGGCCGTTTTCTGCGAAGGCCTCAGCACAGACAACATTGTTTCTTCCATTTCGGACACTTGGGAGTGAGTGAAAGAAGAAATCAGTTAGGCTTCTCTATTTCCAGAATTCTGTCCATCAAGTCTGTTAAATCTAAAACCATTTGCAATGCTCCAAAATTGATTTTATAATTATGGTAATATTTCTGCACTGCAGAATAGTTTATATCCAGTGACTATTAGGAGACTCAAAACAAAATATTTCAATAAATATGAATTACACAAGAGAAAATCTGTAGTTACGAAAATTATTTCAATTTATTTATCTTTCTGTTGAAGTTAAACAAAAACATGCTTTTATTTCAGTGTATCATATTTACCACAACCACAAAGCTAATGCCAAATAAACAAAAGTAAATAAGCAGGAACATTGTAAAGGTTACATTAAATAAATAAATAAATAAAAACTATTCTGAACTGAAGGTTCTGTAAGCCAAAATTTCATTTCAAACAATTCAATTATTCTAGTCATGAAACAGTTAGCAAAATTGATACTTATTTCCTATTCCTCTTTTTATTTGGAGTTGGGGAAAATAAAGTGTTTTCTATTTTTAAGTAAGGAAAGGCTAGGAGAAGAAAGTGAGTAACTGAAAGCACTTTTTGCATGTAAAGTGATTGCTGAGAAGTAAAAATATATATATATGGAAAAGCATGTAGAATTGTTTCAGAGGGAATAATATTTCAGGTGCTAGTTAACTGGAAGAACCAGTACATGCAGAACTACAGTGAATACACACATGAACATTATTGTCTATAATGGTTTCTCTGTGATGGCATTATATTGTATCTGTTACGAATTAGTTAAGTGACACAGTGAGATGGCAACTTACTAGGAAATTTCATCTCTTGTTATGCAACATATTTGTTTCTTGGGGTTTTAGAGTCATATCAACTTACTCAAAAGAAAATCAGTATTTTGCCACACACACACACACACACACACACTCACTCACCTCCTGTGTTAGCATCACAGATCAACTAAAACTCTCGAAGTGATCTTTACTATGCTCGTTATTCAAAGGAACCAACAGAAGTGACACAGAAAATTACCTGAGCACACATAAACTTTTAAATCTACAAGTAAATATTTACAATGTTTGAAGTACGCAAATCCAACACAGAAAATGGTCCAGAGTTTTACAAGGACATTTAAATGTCTGTGTGGTGAACCTTTCTTACTCTGCTTTATCCTGTGAAATTTGAGCCTTTTTAGACTTGAGCTGCTGAAATGCAAAATGCAGACAAGCAAAATGCATGTCTTCCTGATATTTGTGCACTGAGGTCTGTTCAAATTAGCCCTGTTTATTCTTCTACTGCCTTTCCTCCATGAATTCTTCTTTCATGCTCTCATCCCAGAAGACTTTTATATAATCCCGTGACTTACTATATCCGTCCTGTTGCAGTTATCATAACCTACAAATATTTATCTTTGTGCTTAAGTACAATAGACCTTAAAAATATATATACATATACATAAAACATGTATATAAATACATAAAAATATACATACACATAAAATATGCATATAAAAAATACATACATATAAATTACTTTCTTTAAAAACAATCTTATCTGACCAACACTGTTCACTTCAATGGTCCTACGTTCGTGAAAAATTCCATTTCATATTTAGAAAAGACAATCCAGTTGTACATATATATTGTATTTATATACAAAAATCCTGAGACTGTCATCAAATCTGAAGAGAAAAAGCTTTGAAATCCAACAAATCTAGACCCAACAAAGATGCACCATCTTTTGAAATGGAATATTCTAAAAAAGAAAATGGAAGTACCACTTACAGGACTGTTTTAACTGCTCATCTGCCTTTTGTGGATAAATTGGGTGCCACGAGTAGTCAATTGTAAACACAACACTTGGGACTGTCCAGCATTCAACCCAGCCAGCCCTTTCAGAAAGAAACATCACACCTTTATTAGAAGCGGAAACATTTCATTAAATATTCTCTATTACCATTTTAATTTACTTTCTCCACAAACAAAATAAACAAACATAAGAGCTAATAAAAATATCACAATGAAACTCACTCTTCTTGGGTAATGTTCCTCCATTTGGGTTTGCCTGTTTTCTGACTATTTTGACATTCAGCAGAAATGCAAGATTCGGGACTTATTTTATTAGGCTGACAGTCTTTCACCAACATGAAAAGTGAATATTTACTGGGATGACAATCCGGTAGATACAAGTGAAGATCAACATCTTCTCCCTATAATCAAACATTAGCCAAAGAATATTTTATTTGCATTCACTTTGCAAATTTATTGCAAAATTAACGCTCCTAATATTTGCATGCTCATATGTGCCAGTATCTTCACTTTGCAAACAAAGTGAGAGAAGAAATCTTGATTTTCACATATGACCACTGAAAATGGTTCCCACCAACTCCAAATACAATCGTATAATTCCTGTAATTCTTAAAAGTCATTAAGTGCAATAACATGCAAATAGCACACCATAAAAAGCTGTTCAACAGGAGCATGTCTTTTAGTTATCCCTGTTTCTAATGCAGCTCAAGCTATAACACAAAATCTAAGTAACTGGCCCAAGACTACCCTATGCCTTACCTAAATCACACTTTTTATATAGGTATACACACACACACACACGTGTATTTTATTAAACCATTGCTTTCTCTGCTATTCAGTTATACAAAACTGCCACCACCAAGTAGGTTTACATTTAAGGGCTTGTTTGACATTTTGTTGTTACATTGGTTGATTGGTTGGGTGTTTTGTTTTTTTTTTTTTGGTTAGCCATACACTGCTTATAGAAGACAATCAAGAAGTGCAGTCCTTCAAAGAATGTTATATTTGTTAAAAACACCCTACAACCATTCCCTGTTTTACAGATGCTTTTAAAATATATGAGATAGCTTTCCAAAATGGTTTGGGGTACCTGATACCTCACTCAGAATGTGATTTGTACTTTTCAATATACATGGGAGTGGCATGCTGTCAGTAAATGAAAAAAAGACTCTTAAGTGAAAGAATACATACACACAAAGGAAAAATATAGGGATATGTGTGTATGAATGCGTGCATACAAATATACATACAATGCACACAGTTTCTTTGCATACACAGTATTTTATTACTATATAAAATAGATATTGTATACTACATATATAAGTTATGAAACAGCCAAAACTGCCCATGATTGAATATTTAATGAAAGCAACGGAGAGTATTTAGCCCTCAGTTACTTCAAGACTAGTAATGCAATAACTAGCCTTCTTCTCAGAGGAAAGAGCTTAGAAACAGTTCCCGACTGAAAAAGGAGAAAAGGCAGGGAAGCTACTTACCCTTAAAGAGAATCTAGTACTGCATATAGTTGGAACAAAGTCAGTGAAAGGCAGAGAGAAAACAATGTTTAATGTTTCTCCGCAAGCTGCCAGATAAACTGCAGAAAAGGAAAGGAAAAAAAAAAAAAGAAAAAAAAATGTCAAAATTTTCCTCTTATTTCTTCGGAAGCCAGTTATACAGGGAGAATTAAGGAAAAATATTTAAGAACTCATGATAAAGAAAACTGTCCTTTTAACTACTGTGTATTTGGCATTATTTATTCTGAAATTATTCACTCCCCCTAATTTGTCCTTTAGAAAAGGACATGGTTCTTAGCAAAATTAAATTGTCAGCAGGCAGAAAAAACAACTGCAGCTAATGTCTTATGACTTTATTGCTCCACATGCCGGCTTTTGAACAAGAAAGCATATGTTGAAAGTCCCTCAGGATTGTGATGAAATAGTGAGTCTTAATTTTGAGCTTATTTTTAAACACAAATTCATTATCTAATACATATTTTTTAATCCACAATCTTCACATTGATATGATTACATTCTAGCACAGCCCACAACACTGAAATATGTGGGTATCAAATCACATATAATAAACTTTTGGTATCCTGTGTATTTTTGGTATCCTGTGTAGTTTTTAGTTATGTCTAAGAGAGAGTATTCTGTTATCTCCTATTCTGAAATGAATACAAAGCAGCCATCTCTAATACCATGAAGTCCAAATAGCAGTTTTTCCAATACTACTCTAAAATAATCTAAGTGCAAGCTTTCAGTTTACCGAAAAAAGTCAGCATCTGATGGCTGCTGTCTGAAAACTATTGTATTAAATCAAAGATTCAGAGAGAGCCCTTGAAAGTGAATGCTAAAACATTATCTAGAGCTACATTTCTCAGAAGGAGGTATCTATTTGTACAAAATAAATTAGGTTTTACACTCATTTTCAGAGGGTACCGAAATAGCACCCTCCTAGTACCAAACACGGTTATTTATCAGTGACTGCATGTATTTTGGTTGAAGTCCTGGAAGTTTTGTCACTTGCATATTATTCATCCAAAGAAAAAAGCTACCTCACCATTTTCTTGCTGTTTTGTGGAACAGTCAATCCAATTGTGTTGATTCGCTGCCCAAATCATTTCAAATTGATGAAACATGATTTTGAAGTTCCACATGTAAGGAACAAATGAATAAATATCAGGTGCACTATCACTGGACCAGTCTTGGATCAAATCTAAAAATACATAAAGCAATAAGACAGGTTAATGGCAATGAAGTAAGAGTTTTTTTTTAATTAATCTAACTTTTCATAAACTGTAAATATTAACCACTTGTTGCTTTACAGAAAAGAGAAACAAAGTAAACAATACACAGTAGCAGTTTCTTAGGCAGATATTGCACAGGTACTTGCTGTGAACCCATCTCCCATTTATCCCTTGCTTTTTAAGTTGTAATGTCACAGGTTTAAATATGTTTTCTATGAGTTTAGTTGTGCTCAGGGATAGCAAAGTGAGCCAAACACAGGACTAGCAAATTCTTTTCACTGTTTTTCCCCCTTATGCTCTGAAACGTGTAGATGAGCAGTATTTTCCACCACCATGTCTTCTACAGCAACACAGCATTGCTGTCGAAGCTCACCAGTTAGCTCCGAATAGACTGGAAGACTCTAGTGCATCCTGCAGCACTATGCAGGTGAACACTCAGACCTCCCAAAGAAAAACTTTATTA